AAAATAATAATAATAATAATAATAATAATAATAATTTGAGGGTTTAATTCATCCGTCAAAGGATTTTAATCAAATAATTAAGAGTTAAAATGAAATCACGAAAGATTACACACAATTATTGTCACTTATTGCTAAATAATCTCGTGTGAAACTCGATTATTATTTACTATCTACTTATTCAACTTTATTTCTTATGACTTTCCAATGAATGTGTTTATTTTACATCACCTATAACTCTAAACACTTGCCGTTGTTTTTTTTTTTTTTTTTTTTTTTTTTCCAGACATGAAACAAATTCAAACAAAAATCAATACACATAATCAATGTTGTTTTATTCCCTATTTTAGGATAATATATTTGTTACTAACTTTGCAAATATTAATTTAAGGGTAAGAAAAATACAATTTGAAAAAGGTAACTTATGTTCTTGTGAGGGATTGAACTCCGAGACAATGTTTCATCATTGAAAATTAACCAAGATTGCGAGATAAACAACATATCAACATTTTGACGTCGGTTTAAAATATTTGGTTACCAAAACATAACTGATTGTATTACTAAATAATTTGCTTGTGTTACTAAATAAATTAGTAAGTTAAAGTGTTTGATATTATTGGGGGAATTCTGCCATTTTCGCCAACCTTATACCTTTTTCAGCCATTGCCAAGATCCTTAGGCTCTCCATCTTTTTACTAACGAATATGACTATTACTACTTTTGTGACGCTAATAATTGTTGCATCTCTAAACGAATTCCAAATTCAATAGAAAACGGGAAGAAGATGACCAATTTCAATAGTTTAATAGAAAAAGGGAAGAACACCAATTTCAATTGTTGTAGACGATTAAATGACGAAGATTAACTCAATTAAATCACAAACTATATAACACATTATCTTCTGCAAATAATTACTCAACGATGATTTATTTAATTGTAATATACTCTATTTAAACTGGAAAAAATTAAAAAATCAAAGTTGTATATATGACGTAAATTCAAGCTTCAAAGACAAAAACCATGCAAAGTAATTTCATAGTGAATTGGCCGAAGAAACCAACAGGAAGAGGATGACAAATATAATTCAGCAAGAACATAATTCACTTTTTTTTTCATCTTCCATGGCCATTCATGGTGTTGAAGAAGAATGAACAGTTTTTTTTTTTTTTTTTTTTTTTTTAAGTTGCATAGGAAATAACACAACATTTGAAATTCAAATAAAATTTCAAATTTAGTGAATTTTGGGGCCCATTTCACCAACCAATTAAAGGTTGCCATATCACATTGTATGTGGAGACCACATACAATGGTTGTATGTATAGCCTTTTCCTACAATTAGAAGCTATTTCGTGTCCAACTATTTTCGAGCTGAATTTCACATCCTAATTTCCCATTTAAAACTCAATTTTGATCGATTGTCTCAAAATTTGCCATGTCTACATACATGCATATATTTGAGTACACGACAGTGTTAGTGAGACCAAAGTGCCAAATTGTTAGTTGCACCAGCTCACCCAGATACACTGCTATTAACCTAACACAAACAACAGATATTTGACATAAGCATATCTTAAATAAATACAAATAAAGGACCAGGACAATAACAACCGTTCACTATAATTATTAGTCAAGAACTTTAGGTTTTGTAAAATCTATATAATTGACTTACTACATTATTTTCTTATTTAATTCAAATTGTACACGTACGTTGACATTGCACACTTGTTCAATGTTTTCTTAAGAAATTGTATTATTAGTTGAATATTATTTGGCTTATTGCATGGAGGTTACGAACCTAGAAGACGAGCCTTTTTTAACGGTAATTAACAAGTAATTTACCTATTAACTGTCTGTTGGTGTAATAGTGATTGAGGCTACACTTGGTAGGGAGAACTGCGTGTTCGATCTCTCGCAACAATAATTGAGAGGGGACTGCAACCTAACCACCCAAAACTGATCCTCGAATTCAAATTAGCCCAAAGATTGAAGCGGGTGGAACACCACAAAAAACAAACAAAAAAAAAAAATGCAATTTACCAACATCCAATTTCTTGCTGATTATTTTAACATACGTTGGCAAGAGATCGATTAAGAACTAAGAAGACCAACCAAATGATTTATAAGCATGATCAGTATATATATGTATACATGCATATGTAACGTGCCTTGTAATGCATGTTCCAACCTTTTGTTAAAAATTCTAACATTGTTTTAACATATATACACCGGTGTAGTTAGAGTTAGATGCTCGCTTTCAAGAAGTTTTTGGCTATTTGGTGATTTTCACGCATATTATAACAATGAGAAGAAAAAAATTAATCTCGAATTAGCTTAGCTAAAATTAACTCTTGGGTGTAGCTTTTTTTTTATGCTTGAGTAGTTGAGTGCATATAATAAAGGTTTGTTGTATGCTAGAACAAAAATCATTATTAGAACATGTTTTACATACTTTTAATAGGTTTAATTACATAATTAATTAAGCTCAAAGGGCAATTTGCAAATGATATAAGCTCAAATAATTCTAAACAAGTTCATTTTAGTTCATCTCTATCTAAATAATTTTTCAGTTAAGTTCATTTTTAGTTAATTTTTGAGGTTAAGTAAAATTAGATAATTCAAACACATTCCGACCCATAATAATCTACACATATGAATGCTAAATAAAATTAATCTCACAGAAAAGAGAGGTTATTTTAGATTGAGAAGGTATTAGGTGCGGTTGCCGCACCAAATAATTCGTGTGTCAAGTATATATGATATGCAGTATTTGATATATGATATGTATTATTTGATAGAGGATATGTACAACTTGTTGGAGGATATGTGTTATTTGATAGAGGATATGTACAGTTTGTTGTAGGATATATATTGTTTGTTATATGATATGTAATATTTGATAGCGCATATGTACAATTTATCTTTGATAGAGGATATGATGTAGTATTTGGTGGAGGATATGTGTTAGTTGATAGAGGATACATATAGTTTATTAAAGGATATGTAGTATTTGATAAAGGATATGTACAATTTGTTGGAGGATATGTGTTACTTAATAGAGAATATGTAAAGTTTGTTGGATGATATATATTATTTGATAGAGGATATGTATCATGCTGATATGTTCCTTTTGTTGGCTGATATGTTTCATCTGTTATAGAGGATATCATCCAACTTATTATAGATGATATAATGTAGACAATAAATTTATTTTACAAAAATAATTAAAAGGTCAACAATGGCAGAACCACCATTGAAGGTCGTACTAAGCTTATGGGTATAACATAACATGCTCATTTCTCAACCAAAACACATGCATTTATTATCAAAACGCTTACAATTATTCAACATACAATCACATAAGACAATCAATTTCAACAATTATACATCTTTTAGGCCTTTTTCGAAATATCTGAGAATCTCAAGCAATTATCAAGCCAATTCATGCATAAATCATCAAGCCAATTCATGCATAAATCATGGACAAGTATAATCAACAATCAACGAGTTTCTCACCGTCGACGATACCACCGCCGCCAATGAGAGCGATTATTGGTATAAAGCAAAAATCCGCTGAACTGACATAACATTTGATCAGGCTGGGCTGACACAATAATTTGTGTTTTAGATTTAAGTAGTGAACTCAAGACTAGAACGAGATTAATTTTCTCACATAGTTTTTTATTTTATTGAGGATCATGTATATGTGAACCGGTAGAGATTGATCAATGAGATGATCTCCAGCTTCCACCTGGCCTCTCTCTTTATTTGATAGTATCAAATGGTTGGATTTCATCAATTTCATCTATATTAGTACAATGTGGGAAAACCAATCTCATAAGCCACAAAAATACATCGTAAGAATCATGTTTTTAGATCGTTAGATATCTCATATATGCATGTTGTCGTTGAATTCCACTGTAAATTCACTTATGAGTTGTCCCACCTTGAAGAAATAAAAGAGATGGTTCCACTTTATAAGGTAGAGAAATTACTCGTATTATTATCAATTGATTTTAATTTTTTTTTTTTTTTTTTTTTTGGAAACCACCAATTGATTTTAATGTGAAACCTCCCTAGGCCTTGTTTTAGACTGAACTCTCCCCCCCTTATTTGCGTTGCCCAATCCCATTTAATATTATTTCATAAACAATGCTTCAATCACATATAATGATAATACTCTAAATAATTGCTACTATAATATTAAATTTTGTAATTTAAGCATACAAGTATATATATAAGTCATCCCACATTATCAATGCAACATCAAATCACATATCACTTATTGATTTGTGATAAGTTATTTTATATTTTGAGTTAACAACCAATCAACTATGTCGTAATCATTTTTATTGGTCTTGTTTGGCAATTGATTGTTGGCTATTGACTAATTTTATTGGTTGGTTTATAGACTGTTTGTATAGGTTTTTTGTTGGATGTTTGACTTTTTATTTGTTTAAAATCATGTTTTGTGAAATGACAGTTAGATGTTATTAGTAATTTAGAATTCCATAAGCTAAAAGCCAAAGAATACTTCAAGCAACTTTCTAATTTTGGCTTAATAAGCCAACTATTCAGCTTGATGTAAATGCCATTTACTAAACAGAGTTTTTGATATAGAAAATACAACACCTTTCATATACACTCATGTGTACGTAGAAATCAAGGGTTATTTTTTTACTCATTTGATAATTTTTTTCTTCTCATTTCAAGATTTTAAAATGAAAACAAAATATAACAAATAAATGAGTTAAAAATACTACTCGTAGCTCTTGTGTACATCTTGCACCGGGTCAGGGTGTACAAAAATTTTCTTAAGTAAAAATATACTCATACAGTCGTACTAAATAGAAAATTCAAATTATTCAATAATATACCTTATGACGTCAAGGCACATGTCCAATCAATTTGCTTCAAAATTATTACTCCATCCGTTTTTAAATACTTGCTCCGTTTCTCTATGCGCGGAGTTTTAGGAAAAATTAGAGAAAATAATAAAATAAGGAGGTAGTGGGGGTTGGTGTAAGGTAAATTAGAGGAAAGAGATAAAACACAATTATATTGGGTCCCACTAGTTAAGAGAAATTAATTAAATATTGTAAAAGATTTCCAAATAAGGAAATGAAATAAGTATTTAAAAACAGCCGGAAAAAAAAAATAAAGTAAGTATTTAAAAATGGAGGGAGTATGACGGCAATGCTCTATACTAGTATATTAGTATAAACAAATGATCCAATCATCCAACAACCAGCCTAATCTTAGCCAAATTTCCCAACAAAAAATTAGAATTTTTTTTTATTTAAACAAACACTTTTTTGATTACCAAACACGTCACAAAAAAAATCTAAATAACACAATCATTATTACTGTAATACAAATAATAATAATAATAAAATAATTAATTAACCCCTCACACGCTTAATTAGCACGTGCAAATCACTCTCCCCTTCCTTTTATCAAAACCCCCTCCCATTTTTTTCTTTTCGTGCCAACTTCTAAAATTCGCCCGAGTCATTCCCTTAACTCGCGGGTCAAACACCGAGTTTCAGTCTCTTCAACTCGTTCCTTTCCCTTCTTTTCTAAGAAATACCGTAATCAGTTTTTTTTTTAATTTATATTTTTTTAAATTTCTCTTTCTTCGAGGTTGATAATGGAGGTTCCGACGACGTTCGGTGGCGAAGATGCGGCGGAGATGGTGACAGAGCTCCGGCGGAATTTCGTGAGCGGTAAAACTCGGAGTTACGAATGGAGAGTTACTCAGTTGAAGAGTATTGTCAAATTTGTTGAAGAACGTGAGACTGAGATTGTTGACGCTCTTCGTTCTGACATTAATAAACCTGAATTTGAATCCGTTTTATTTGAGGTATCTTATTTTTTTAATTTCATAATAATTTTGTTTTGGTTTGATTTTTTTGTTTTTTTTTAATATTTGCATGATCTTAATAAACATTGTTGGTATTGTTGTCTGTGAGATTTGTTGAAATGGTGACAAAATCACGCGTCTGTCGGTGTTATTTGCGTTTATTTTAACGTGTAACGTTTATAGTTATGGTATACGTATATGTTTTTCCTATATGTTGAGTTTATAGTGTAGGAAATAAGTGATTCTCCTTAATCAAAGGAGTTAATTAGGTTGTAATTATGTTAGGAATATATTCTGCTTAGCTGTATTTCCTTATTTATCATAGCTCTTTGTGTATAAATGTAATGATAACCAAGAGTAATAAACGGACAGAAATTGAAAACCAAAAACACAATTCCGCTTATTTTACACATGGTATCAGAGCCGTAAGGTTCCGATCTTCGGGAAACCGAAACCTATTTAGTCTCATCATCTACCGGAAGGTTACCTTAAAATGGGGGACTCACCGGACGACAACAAAAAACTGATTTCAATAGAGCAGATGGAACAAATGTTCCAGATGTTTCAAAAATTAAACAAAAACCCAATCAACCCAGAATCTGGAAATGCACAAAGTGTGCGTATTTCAGAAAAACTCAATTACACAAATTACACCAAATGGTGTAAGTTGATGCAAATTGCAATTGGTGGCCGAGGAAGACTCGACCACATCACAGGCAACCCTTTAACATCAGACAACCCAGAATACGCCCAATGGGCCCAACGGGACTCAATAGTGTTCTCGTGGATAATCGAGAATATCGACGGAGATCTAGTTAATCAATTCCTTGATTATAAAACTTCCAGAGATCTCTGGAAAGGAATAGAGACTCTCTTGAGTAGTGGGAGAGACGAACTTCAAATCTATGATCTGAACTTGAAGGCAGCATCAATTAAACAAGGGAGAGACACCATAGAAATGTATTTCAGTAAACTGAATATATTATGGAAGGAAATTGACAGACGAATGCCAAATCCGATGAAATGTTCAGAGGACATTACTCTGTTCAATTCTTTCATTCAGAGACAACGGCTTTATCAATTCCTAGCCGGAATTGATAATTCTTTGGACAAAGAGAAAAGGGATTTACTGTATTTAGACCCACTCCCAACCCTAGATGCCGCTTATGCTACAATTCGACGGGAAATTGCCCGTCGCGGCATAATGACCGGCGACTCATCATCGGGACAGAGTCCCTCAGAAATTGGGAGTGGCTTGGTGGCGCAAAACCGGTCGGAAAAGTCATCCCGGTTAGAAGACAAGACGATGTTAAAATGCAGCCACTGCGGGGGAACCAAACACACCAAGAGTGGGTGTTTTAAACTCATCGGTTACCCTGAGTGGTGGGACGAATTGAGACAACGAAAAGCCGCCGCCAAGGCTACCGGAAACCGGACCGGTGGCAAGGCAAATTTTGTTGCTTCTGAAAGGGAAATCAACGGTGACGATGGAAGCTCACCCACAACCAAAAACACACCCGGAAAATCAACAGGTACAGGTATCAACCTCATCGCCAATTTTCATGGTGAAGCAATGAAAGAGAAAGGGAAAGTGACGGAAGAGGATGAAAGGTTTGGGAAAGTTTCTGGAAAAGAAACTATTTACGAGGAGGCAAAGGAATTTGAGGGTTTCTCAAAGAATTTCCATCAAAAACCTATGGCCCACACAATAAAACAACCCACAATTTCAACTCCTATTAATTCCCATCAAAAACACACGACCCACATTGAAACCCAACCAAGAAATTCCTTTTATTCAGATAAAAATTCAGAAAACTCATTTATCCAATCCGGAAATATGGGCCTCTTATGTAAATCAATGGGCTGGATTTTAGATTGTGGGGCAACAGACACTATGTCTTATGACCCATCCGACTTTATATCTTTCCATCCCACTAAACGTACCCAAATACAAACTGCTAATGGGGAATTAATTCCTATTGATCGAGCCGGAAAAGTTGATGTTTCACCCAATATTCATTTAAACGACTGTCTTTTAATTCCTAGTCTTTCTCATAAACTCTTATCTGTTAGTCAATTAACTAAGGAACTTGATTGTACTGTTTTACTAACATCCTCTGGTTGTATGGTACAGGAAGCTCAGACGGGACGGATTATTGGGAGGTACTGAACGAGGAGGATTGTACTTCTTGGATGAGGCGACTCAACACGGCAATGCTTTGCTTGCTCATGGGTCCCCGGAATATCAACTATGGATGTGGCATCGCCGGCTAGGTCACCCTTCTGTAGGTTATCTTAAACGACTATTTCCTTCTTTTAAAAACATTGATGTAACTTTGGACTGTGAATCGTGTGCCTTAGCCAAAAGTCATAAACATACTTATTCTCCTAGTTTGACTCATGCTATCAAACCTTTTATGCTTATTCACTCAGATGTTTGGGGTCCTGCCCCAGAGTTTGCAATCCATAATTTTTCATACTTTGTTTTATTTGTGGATGACTGTACTCGTATGAGTTGGGTATATTTCTTGAAACACAAATCTGAAGTATTTGATGTATTTGTTAAATACTATAATATGATTCGTACCCAATTTAATGCAAAACCACAAATTCTTAGATCAGATAATGGGGGGGAATATATAAACCTAGATATGGAACAATATATTGCTGACCAGGGACTTGTTCACCAAACATCCTGTCGTGATACCCCTCAACAAAATGGAGTAGCAGAAAGGAAAAACAGGACTTTATTAGAAATTACAAGGGCAATTATGATTGAATCGGGAGTTCCTGTTTTTCTTTGGCCTGAAGCCATAGCTACCTCCACATACCTTACAAACAGACTTCCCACAAAAACCCTTGACTACGAAACTCCCCTTGACACCCTTTCTTCACACACCACCATCCCATCCTCTCACTCCCTACCACCAAGAGTGTTTGGATGTGTTGTATATGTCCACCTACCAAAGATTTATAGAAACAAACTGGAACCAAGGGCTATTAAATGTGTCTTTATCGGATATGGGGTTCACCAGAAAGGATACCGATGCTATGATCCGACTACAAGGAAAATACACACTACCCTTGACTGTGAGTTTTTTGAAAAATCCTATTATTACACCCAGCCTGGTCCTCAGGGGGAGACTAGTAGTGATGACCTTAGCTGGTTGACATATCCAGAAGTGATGGACCTTGAGGATCCAACAACCCAAGTAGACAGTACCACCGATGTTGCTTCTCCAGAGGTAACAGTTCCCTCATCTCCTCTTCAGTCCACACCAGATTCACCTACTGAGCATCCAACCGAGGATGTAGTTATATCAAGTGAGGTAAACACAGAAAATTCTGACCTTTGTGATTTACCTATAACTGATCCTGTTGTTCCTAGTGAAAATTGTCCGAACAGATATGAGTTACCTCCTAGGAGAACTAGAGGAGTTCCTCCAAAGAGGTATGATCCAGAATATGAGGATTCCCGATCCAGATATCCTATAGGAAAAATCAGCAACGAGAATCTTGCCAGTAATGCTATCGCATTTACAGCTTCCCTATACTCTACTGAGATTCCTAAAACAGTGGAAGAAGCTCTTGCTAGTAAGGATTGGAGAAAGGCTATGGAAGATGAATACTTGGCTCTAGAGAAGAATGAAACTTGGGAGAAATGTGTTCTCCCAAAGGGAAAAAGAACTGTGGGGTGCAAGTGGGTTTTTACTGTGAAGTACCGGGCAGATGGTACAATTGAGAGACACAAAGCAAGGCTGGTAGCAAAAGGTTACACTCAGACATATGGAATTGACTATTCGGAGACTTTTTCACCAGTAGCAAAATTAGATACTATTCGGGTTCTGTTCTCTATTGCAGCAAACCAAGATTGGCCTCTTTATCAATTCGATGTAAAAAACGCTTTCCTTCACGGGAACCTTGCTGAAGAAGTCTACATGGAAGCTCCCCCAGGATATGCTGAAACATTTGAAGTAGGAGAAGGGTGCAGATTGAAGAAGGCTCTATATGGCTTAAAACAATCTCCTAGGGCATGGTTTGGGAGATTTACAAAGGCCATGAAAGTTTTTGGGTACTCTCAAAGTAACTCTGATCATACTCTATTTTTGAAGAAAACAAAGGGAAAAATCACATGCTTAATCATCTATGTGGATGATATGATCATTACTGGTGACGATGAGGAAGAAATAACTAATTTGAAGAAAAAACTGTTCCAGGAATTTGAAATGAAAGATTTGGGTAACCTGAAATATTTCCTAGGAATAGAAGTACTAAGATCTAAACAAGGGATCTTTATTCATCAAAGGAAATATATACTTGATCTATTGGCCGAAACAGGAATGTTAGGGTGTAAACCAGCAGAAACACCGATTGTTGCAAATCATGGACTTCAAATCTTAGAAGGAGAGAAAGCAACCAACAGAGAACAGTATCAGAAGATTGTAGGGAAACTCATTTATCTAGCCCACACAAGGCCAGATATTGCCTACGCAGTAGGGGTTGTGAGTAGATTTATGCATATGCCTCAAGTTCACCACATGACAGCTGTAATGAGAATATTGAGATACCTGAAAAATACTAGCACCACTGGGATCTACTTTGACAAGAATGATAACCTGGATTTAGTTGCATACACTGATGCAGATTGGGCAGGAGACCGGGATGGTAGAAAATCGACTTCAGGGTACTTTACCTTGGTAGGAGGAAATCTGGTCACTTGGAGAAGTAAGAAGCAGAATGTTGTAGCCTTATCAAGCGCAGAAGCAGAATTCAGAGGAATTGCAAAAGGGATAACTGAAATTCTATGGATTCGGAAGCTAATGAATGAACTTGGCTTTCCTCAGAAGACAGCATGTAAACTGTTTTGTGATAACAAAGCAGCTATAAGGATTTCGGAAAATCCAGTGCAACATGATAGAACGAAACATGTAGAAATTGATCGACACTTCATCAAAGAGAAATTAGAAGGGGGAATTGTTGAACTTCCATTTGTTCGATCAAAAGATCAACTGGCAGATATCTTGACCAAAGCGGTCAACTCTGAGGCCTTTAAAGAAGCACTTAGCAAGTTAGGCATTGGAGTACTGGATGCCCAACTTGAGGGGGAGTGTAGGAAATAAGTGATTCTCCTTAATCAAAGGAGTTAATTAGGTTGTAATTATGTTAGGAATATATTCTGCTTAGCTGTATTTCCTTATTTATCATAGCTCTTTGTGTATAAATGTAATGATAACCAAGAGTAATAAACGGACAGAAATTGAAAACCAAAAACACAATTCCGCTTATTTTACACATATAGGGATGATTTTATGGAATGATTGCTTTTATATGCTGATATTTACTATTGAGGTTGGGTGAGGTGATATCGTTGTACAACGAATAACCAATACTATTTGTTTGCTTATTTGTTCGCGAATGGCGATGGTTTATGTGGAGTATTAATTAATGAAGTATGTAAAATCATGCTGATTGTGTGAACTTATGTGTTTTTGTTGCTGAGAATGACTGATTAGAAAGTTGAAAAATGAGCATTAATTGTAATTCCAGTGGGTCTGGTTATTCCTGCTTGATATTACTCCTATTTGGTTTGCATCCATGAAACAGACATAACATGCTGACACTTTTATGGAGGGTTAGTTTTGTGCATTTATGGCAAATTAATTTGCTTTCCCTTGTTTTCCTTTGATTGGTGCTAGGGATTTTAGTATTAATGAAGTTAGGTCTATTTCATGAAGGGATTTTTTTTTTCTTTTTTGGTGAGAGTCATAAAAGGCAATGATGTGGACGAGATGTGATTATGCGTCTTGGGAACTTTTAAACGTTATGGCATTGATGTGGATGAGATGTGATTATGGGTCTTAGGATTTTTTAAATGTTCCTCTCTTTATTTATTGTAAAGTATAGGTCCTCACCAAGTTGTTGCTGGTTACAGCTCTTATTTAGTCACGTGTTCTGTAACGAGTTTATTTCAGATGATTCTTGTATTTAAAAAATTCTACGTGCCTTCTATAGTATTTATTCTCTTTGTTCCTTTTTTGGGCGCCCTCCTTTGTGCTGGAGTAAGCTGATAAGTGATGATTGGCCAACAGACAGAATTTGTTAGCTTGCTAGGTAAGAAAGAAATTATGTTACGGTCAAATTTGGAGGTTAATGCAATAAACAAGATGCTGCAAGTAAATAATCAATATTGACTTTTCTACTATGTTTACATATCTGCATCTTGGTTATTAATTTACCATTACTTTAGGTAGGTGGTGTGAGAATAACTAATATCTTGTTGTGTTGGTGTGAATTATAATAAATTAGACTTTAATTGGCTTTTAAGAAAGGTCATAGCTGGTTGATATTAGTGCTTTGTGTATTCAAGAGTAATTGTTTTTGACAGACTAAGCACAGTTTGTTTTTGCTCTTTCCACTCTTTATAATGATTATTGTCGTCTTAGGGGAAGATATACATATAGTTCCAATGGCAATGCCAATAATAAGAAACTTATCGATTTTATATAATGCATATATCAGAATAAAAAAGCTACCATATTGAATGTAAAACCTGAAGGGGAGAAGGGGATGGGGGCATATTAGCCTTAAATTATTCGATACGTATAAACACAATCCTGTGTCCTACTCCTACCATATTACCTTAATAATTAACCTAAAACTGGTTTCAATTCACACTATAGTGTCTCATGATATTCTGAGAATGAGTAGCTACAAAATCCAGGCTCTAGCTATTGCAAAAAGGATGGTATTGTTAATAGTTCTGATATTTGTACCTTAAGCCACAATGTAAATTGAAGTGCATTCCACAAATTGCTCTGTATCTTCTTTTTACATTTTATTCCGTTACCCTTCTTCTCTCCCTAATATATATATTTAAAAAGGTATAAAAAAAGTGGATAGAGATAGCTTTTCTGTACCAAGATAGAGCAACACAGCTTATGCTATTGTAGATATGACCAGGAAAGTTGTTACAATGAAAAGATAAAGTCACAGAGGTGGGGAGAGCAGTAAGGTTCTGCTAGAATGCTACGGATTATTTCACTATTCCATTTCTTTTCTTTTTTCTTATGTTGGCATATGATTATATAATGACTTTTTCCCCCTTTTTCCCCTCTTTTATTCTAAGTAAAAAGAAATACCCTGTAAATGTTTAACCTGAGATTTCGTTGCTACTGCAGATTTCAATGCTGAAGTCTTCATGTAAAGTGGCTCTAAAGAAATTAAAGCAGTGGATGAAGCCAGAAAAGGTAAAATGTGGTAGTATCAGTTGAGAACTTAATAGTATGCACCACACTGCCTATTGTACTTTTGAGTTTTACTGAACTTTGCTGGGTTGTGCCTCAGGTGAAAACTACATTACTCGCATTTCCTTCATCAGCAGAAGTAGTAGCAGAACCATTAGGCGTTGTGTTGATTATCTCTGCATGGAATTATCCGATTTGTGAGTTGCTCACTAAATCACTACATATTTCTCTTATGATTATAATATGCATCTTTATTAATTCATTTATTTATTAATCTACATTATTCTTATGAAAAACTTCAAACCATACTACATTAGTGATGTGTGGTTAATCCTTGTTGACCTTGTATCTGGCCAAACTTAACCAAAGTTCAATGCAAATTGTAAATTGATATTAGAGAACCCTGTGAACATGTTCGTGGTGAAGGAGTAACATCTATTGTCTACCTCAGCTCAGCTAAAAGAGTCTCTTCCCCTCTCCCTCCTCAAAAGAAGATCAGTTTTCATCTTTATAGACCTTTCAGAAAGTAGAAGAGACTTCCACAGTCCACGTGCATGAATGGCTTCATCTTGCTAAACCAAGATTGCATTTAGAACTTAGAATATTGATATTTTTTTTCAAGTCTTCTCTATCATCAACAGCTGAATTCAAAGGATGCCTGGTAGCCATATTTTGTGATGTATATTCTTTTGCCTCTTCAAACATGTTATCTCATCTGTTTATTTGAATAATCACTAATGGAACAAGAATACAGTTTTTGTGAAGGATTACCTGAACGCTGTGTAGAGGATGGAAATTCTCACTGTGGCATGCAGATACTATTTTAATCTGATGAGGCTTCCCATGCAGTTAGCAACTAATAACTCCATGGACTATGGAATGAAAACCTGTCTCTCGATTTTTTAGAAGAAGCTGTGTCCTTTTCTCTCTGTGATATTGGAATTCTGATTCATAGTATACTTCTTGTGTTGGTGTTGTTCATATTTTAAACTTTTATCACTTTAACTTAATATACGAGTTTGAGACACTTTATACTGTGCATATGCTGTTGCCCCCTTTTAAAATCGAGTCATATGTCATGGTTTCTATGTGGTTTGGTGTGTAATATATGGGCTTTGTTTCCGCATTTGAATCTGTAGTTTTCTTTTTGTTTATTACTAGCAAAGTATGTGGGACAATTGAGTGATTATCTACCTTGTGTGTGATTGTTTTTTTCAGTGTTATCACTTGATCCTGTTATTGGAGCCATAGCAGCTGGTAATGCAGTTGTCTTAAAGCCTTCTGAAATTTCTCCTGCTACAGCTTCATTGCTAGCAAAGTATGTGGGACAATATCTGGATAGTTCTGCAGTCAGAGTTGTAGAAGGAGCCATTCCTGAAACTTCTGCTCTTCTGGAACAAAAATGGGATAAAATTTTTTATACAGGTTTGATTCTGACATACTACAAAATGGGATTAGTGGCTGTTTGTATTTTTGTTGATGCACTTCTGACAAATTGCTGGTTTTTGTTTTCCATTGTATAAGCTTTCAAATCAATCTCTGAGCTTGAAACATAAAAGGCTATCAATTTATGTTGTCATTTTTTTTTATCAAAATGCTGTTTGCAGTTGGTTTTAGTATTAAATAATGTTGTTATTTGGCTACCAGGCAATATTTTGGTGCATGGTCAACTTGTTCTAATAGAACTAGACTTACTTTTGGGCCACTTCTCTAGTGGCAAAATTTGTCCGAGAGACTGAGACGGTCTCACAATAATCTATAGTGGGGCAGGGGCCAGGGGCCAGGGGCCAGGGGCCAGGTGACTTGTTACTTTATCTAGGAGAAGCTTTAAAATGTTTAACAATAAATTAGTACAACAAGCTCTCACCTTTTAGACGTACTCTTCTCTAAATTTCTTTGCGTCATTGGACAAGTGATTGCTATTCATTGTAGCAGTGTAGCTGTCTAATCTAATTTTACATGGAAATGGCTGTAATCAAGATAATTTCGCTCACAAAAGCTGTCATTGTTATAAATGAGCAAAATTTGGCTATATTAAGCTTTGTCAATGACTTAGTTTCGTTTAGCATTACTGCTATGCTATCCTTTGTATAGATGCTTTGTCTTTATAAATGTGGCCTTCTAATAACAATTGGCTCTGTGAAATTGTAGGCAATGCAAAAGTGGCACGCGTAGTGATGACAGCTGCTGCCAAGTACCTTACCCCTGTTGTCTTGGAACTTGGAGGAAAATCTCCAGCAGTAGTTGATCCCGATGTTAATCTGAAAGTAAAGAGCTTTAGGTTTTTTTTTTTTTTTTTTTTTTTTTTTTTTTGCATTCAAGCACCTTAATATATGGACTCTCTCTCTCTCCTGACATGTCGGGATTCTTGCTTGTAGATTGCTGTTAGAAGAATTATTGCAGGCAAGTGGGGGAACAACAATGGGCAGGCATGCATATCTCCTGATTATATTGTCACTACAAGAGATTTTGCTCCCAAACTGGTAAGGTTCAGAAATATTAACAGGTCTGAGAACCTGAGATATAATCTTTATATATGCTGCTTTTTCGCTGATGTTGCTATAATACAGGTAGATACTCTAAAACGTGAATTGGAGAGATTCTATGGTTCAGACCCACTACAATCTCCTGATTTGTCTCGAATTGTGAATTCCAACCATTTTGATCGTTTAGCAAGGCTTCTAGATGAGGATAAAGTTGCTGGTAAAATTGTTTACGGTGGTCAAAGAGACAAAGCTCATCTGTAAGCATAGCAATTAATGCTTACTTTCTTACTTGTATTACTTTGCAAGAATAAGTTATTTACAGTAATGAGGAAATTTTCAATGTGCTACAGAAAAATTGCTCCCACATTATTGCTGGATGTCCCTCAAGACTCTCTAATCATGAATGAGGAGATATTTGGTCCATTGCTTCCCATTATCATGGTATAATTGAGATTTCTATTTTTCCTATCCTTTCTGTATTCTTTTAATTGATGATTCTCAAAGAAGACTCCGGCTTCCAATCTTTGTATCATTGTGAAACAAAAATCTATATCTTTATAACTTGAGTTCAGGACTAATTATTGGAAAAAAGATGTAGGTTTTAAGATTTAATCATAAAAGATTTGTCTGAATTTTTAAAATATCGACTTCCTGATTTTCCTCAGAAAGGATTGTACATGAATACATGACTATAGATGAAAACACTTATTCGAAACCAATCCTTAAACTACAATGGACCATATCACCATATCATAATATCACCTTTGGTTAGTTACTTGAGGATTGTATATTGATTTTCTTATTGTGCTTGTTTTGTAGGTTGATAAGCTGGAAGAATGCTATGAAATAATAATGTCACGAACAAAGCCCCTTGCTGCATACTTATTCACCAACAGGAACAATCTGAAGGATCAGTTTGTGAGGACTGTCTCTGCAGGTGGTTTGGTCATTAATGACTCGGCCATACATGTAAGTGCTCCAACATTTTACATTCAAATTCATTCACTTTAATACAAAGTCTAGTATGTGAGATTTGTGCTCATAACTCGAACTTTTTAACACTTTAACGGTTCTTCATTCAACTCTTTATTGAGTATTTGACATTGGCAGAATCTGATAATTTTAGAGCTTCAGACTATTGATCTTTATGCCACTGCATGCCTGCATCATTGTCAGGGAAAAAAAATAAAATAAAAATAATAATTTGAGCAGTACCTTGATTTGAATATGTCCTTTACTTATCTTTGACAGAAAAGTCTAAAACTTCAGTCTATTACTTGTAATTTTTACATTATAGTAACAAAGCTAGAAAATATTTTATGCTGATTGATTAATGGGTACAAATAGTTTCTGCTATTTGTCTCCATTACAAGTTAAATCTCCCTGGTACTCCGTAACATTTATTCTGCCTGTAAAGAAAAGTCTGCATAGTAAACTGCTTAACCATCCCGTCAAAGCTAAGTACACAAATGAATGATGCACATCACTAAAAAAGAAATTAGTTGTCCCAAATTACGAAGCAACATGTATTTGTTTTCAAACAACAGCAAGTCACCATTTGATGATTGTAATTTTGATATATCATACAACATATATGCACATTACTCTTTGCTAAAGCTCAATTTACTTTTGTTGGGATTGATGTACAGCTTGCAGTTCATGGTTTACCATTTGGTGGAGTGGATGAGAGCGGAATGGGTTCATACCATGGAAAATTTTCTTTTGACGCCTTCAGCCACAAAAAGGCCGTTCTTTACAGAAGCTTTCTGGGTGATGCTCCTGCTCGATACCCTCCTTACACCCGTGGGAATATGAGACTATTGAGAGCTTTGATGGCTGGAAGTATCTTGGACATAGTTCAAGCTTTGATGGGATGGTTATCTTCTGCCCGTAAAGAAAAGTCTGCATAGTACCTGCTTAAGTAAATTAGAGATGTGCATTATTCATTTGTGTACTTGACACTATCCAATTTATGATTTCTGAATGCGATAATTATTTGGTTTTCGTAGATAAATAAATGATGGGTTTATCTTCTTATAATCTTATGTAAGCGTATATGACTGAGTTCTGGTTATTTTGCTGTTGGTTGCTTAATTCAACAGAAGCAGAAAAATTGCCACCATTACTTCAGTCTAATCTATCTGCAGTTTTGTCAAATCTGTCTTTAGTATTCTAATCTAAGTTGGGTTAATTTTCTGTATACAGCCAAAGTGATACAGTATAAAACTCTCAATTCCTTGGACAATTATGAACCACTGCAACTAATCCAAATTTCTGTTGTCTGAATGGATCGTTAATTAGTTAAGGATTAACGTTATTTCTATGTTTTTTTATTAAATTTTTATTTGACAGTAGCATCTGAATTATGAGTTTAACTGTTAAAAAAAAAAAGATTAGTATACAACTGCTACACTACAAAGATAATCTGGTTTCTTCATTTAAATAAAATAATCCGATTTTGAATCAGCAGCATGCATAAAACCTAAACCAAACGTTTCGAAAACTCTCCCAACTATGTACAGAATTCCCTCAGATCATTACCTCACTCCCTAATCTATACGAAACAAAGGAAAGAAAAGCAGTAGAGAGAAACCAACACTAGCTAGTTACTCAATATTCTGAAAATTTCGGACCGTTGTTCATCAGTTAGGCTGTTGGGATAAGCTACTAAGAACTTGACTTTCAAGTTTCCCTTATGATGAGGGTTCTTTTGGTTAGGCATACCTTGACCTACAAAAGTTTTCTCATAACCTGGGTAAATAATCTCATCAATTCTCATGCTCATTTTATCCTTCCCTAGTAAAGGAATGTATAAGTTGCACCCTGTCAGTGCATCCACCATTGGAATTTCTATCTCAAGCTCTAAATCGTCGTCCATCCTCCTGAACAAAGGGTGGTGTTTCTCTGTAACGACGAAGATAATGTCTCCTGGATACTCTCCTTGACGCTCCTCTTTGATAATTCCTTGGAAGGTTATTCTTGTTCCTGTCTTCCATCCCGGCTTTATGTTTACTGTCAAAACCTCGTCTTCTTGGACAATCTGCCTGCAGTTTTGGAGTTATGATAACTGTCAATAAACTTTAGTGAAGTTATTTGGAATGAGATGATTTTATTAGAGGCTAGGAGACGTACCCGGTGATAGAGAAGACATCTCTAGAAACCTTAATGTGCTTGACACAACCATGATATAACTCCTCAAGTGTGCACTCAAGCTGTTTTTCAGTAGCAGGCGGCTTCAACATACCACTCGAGTTGGAGAACATGATCATAGGACCACTTCTACTTACATTCATTTTTCGCGCTTTGGTTGCTACATCACTTGTGGATCTAGCCATGCTGGTGGGTCTATTGGTGGATTCATTCCTGCCGTTAATGCTGGTTGTCCTACTAGTTGTTGATGGTGCCCTGCTTATTGTTGAAGGTGCTCTTGAAATGTTGGATGATTTAGTCCCTTGTTCCTTTCTGCTTGTATTTATACTCCCTGATCTTCCTGCGTGTTACAGTATGTCATAAAAAGCCCTTAGAAATAGTAGTGAACTAACTCTACAAAGTTTTAATGTAAGAAATTGCTATTGAATTATGATTGCCATTATTTTTTTTATTTTTCGAATGAGTCAGGGCAATACAAATTACAAATGGGAAACAGGAGATTTAAACCTATAACATATTGTACATAGACTTGCAGTCATGACTTTTATGACTACGCCAAATTGCCAAAGCCTTTATGAGCACTCAATTTAGTCACTACCTGGCGTGTGTTATCCACATGGGCAATTAGTTTAAGTGCATAAGCAAAATAAGAATTGTGTTTTAGCCTTGAGCACTCAATTTAGCAAGAATATGATATGATATGGTATGGTATTTTGCATTATTATAAGATTAAGAAAATTGAGATAAGTAAATTACCTAATGACGGACTTGAGTGGAAAATACTTCCTTTGGGCAAATTCCTTTCAAACCGTTGTGAATTATGGGTTTTTGGAAGATCAACTAAAGATGAAACTTGTGATGGGCCTTTCTTTTTCTTGGCAACACTTAATAAAATAAATGCTTTGAAACAGCTATTATGATAGTTATCATTATCATGCCCATGTTTTTGACTCATTTTGTTAAGCTCTTCCACTCCATTTCCATTTTGGTTGACCTTGTGAAAATGGTTGTTAACATCTTGCAATTTTTCATGGTTTACCTGCCAATCTTGGGTGGCCTGTCAAAGTTAATGTTAAAATAAGTATTAGTTTAATTAATAAAACAAATTAATTAGTTTACAAATAACTTATGGTAGCTAGATTTAGGTGAGTACACGTTATAAGTATATAATATATTTGGTCAAATTCTCATTTATAGAATATTTGTTTGAGAAGCAAAATAATTATAATGAAATAAACATTATATCAACCTTCCGTTTAACTTTGTGCATGCATATAGACAAAAATGTGAAATCCTTGCATATATGGACTTGCCAAGTTGATCACCATATTCAACTATAAGCCAATAATATTTCTTATCTATCTCAAGTACCGGATTAGTTACCTTTATAAGAGATTTTTATTTTATTTTTAACTTCAACTATAAGCTTAATTCCTTATTCCTCTAAAACAATTCATTATAGTTTTGTCTTTTGAAACATAAAATTCATTTTTGACGACATAAACAGGACAAGATTTTTAAAAAAAAATAAAAATAATTCAACGCTCCCTTCAAAATAAAAGAATTTGAAAGAACATAAAAATAAAAACTTGCATTGGTTTTTTCATTTCAATACATCAATGTATTGTACATCCATTATTATAACCCTTTTTACATGCACATAAAAAAAAGTTAAGAAATTACAACAAAACATTAAAAAAAAACATAAAACATGAAAAACTATTATTTTCATCAACAATAATTAGGGAAAATATTTCAAAATTAAATGTAATAATTAAACAAACCTTAAAAAACTCTTCATCAAAAGCATGAGGATTTGTTTTGAAGTCATCATTTGGCTTGATCTTATTATTGGATGAAATGTGATGTTTGTGTTGATGATGATCATCATCATGGTGATACCGTTTTGAAGCATGAGATTTATATTTCTTCCAAAAATCTCGAATTTTGGGAATATTATAACATTCTTGCTGAGATTTTTCTGTTTCATAATCCATGGAAAATGCAAGAAAGAAGAACAACAAAGAAAAGGGATGAGAGAGAAAGAAGAGAGAGAAATCAAACAACTAAATTTGCTTGGCTTAATTAATTCTGCATGGAGCAAAATTGTAATATGAGGTGGGCTTTTATATATATTAGGAAAATGAAAATTATTACGTTATGGAATATGATAAGACCTTAGACCTTGTATATAATATTAACATAGTGTTAATTATTAATTCATTGACCGTATGGAATGATTAAGGAATTTATCTTATGTTTCCATAAAAATTTAATTTGATTATAACATAATACGAAGTATATAGTTTAGGATAGAGATTTTTTTTTTTTTTTTTTGGGTGAAATAGGGAAACTTTTGCTCTCTCTCTTTGGAAAAAAAAAATACACAATAATATAAAGTAGATAAGATATTTCCAATCTATCAAACAATCAACACAATAAGAAGTTTACAACACAATAAATGGAACTGGAAAATTATATGGGATTTACTCAAATTACAAGTGTGATTCTTTTCCTTTTATAGAGATTTTGTTATTTTCACATGATTATTGTTGAATTGAAATTGTACATGCTTGATTTTTACTAGTCATGTCCTTCACAATACGAAGTTTTATATTGTAATAGGATAAGGCTTGACTTGATCGAATTGAATAGCATAATGCATATACAAATCAAGATCATCAATAAAATTTTCCTAAACATCACATGGGGTACTGTGGACGACACAAATAGGCATTTGCGAAATATGTTGTACAACAAATCGTTGAAAACTATTCTAGATACTCTCAAATGCATGTAATAAACCTCCGTTACATATTACTCACAACAAAAGGGTATTATTTGTGAGACATAAAATATTCCTTTATTGCGAGTAATATGTAGCAGAGGGAGTGGTTTTTATCTAGCTTATTATCTACTCCGTATTACTAAATAATGGTAAACCTAGGTGTGGATGTTTTCAACATTTCACTTGTCTTTCTTTACTTTCCATTCTTTTACGAGTACAAAAAAAACAACGAAGTACAGACGTACAGTATGGAGTATATGTTTGTCAATATATGTCACTATCTTCCCCTCAAAAAAAAACAAAAAACAACCTTGAACAGTTGAACCCAATTACTCTACTATTTTAAGACTCACAAGAGTCACAACTTAACTACTCAATACTCATACAAGACACTATAAAGTTTTTTTAAAATTTTTTTGAAAGGGCTTTCTATCATTATTAAAAAAATCAATAATTCTCGTGTAAGGCGGATTTACATTAATTTTATTGTAAAACTGTCAATTTAAGGGTATCTTTAACAATTTTTATGATAACTTAAACCCCATTAAGGGTAACTTTTAATTTGTATAAGTTTGATTGTATTTTAATGTGTAATTTCTAATAAATACATGCTTTAAAGGCTAATATAATTAATCTAATACATTATAAATATTTTTTAAGGGTAAATTTTTGTTATATAAATGGTAACTTTTTTAGTATAAAAGGTAACTTTAAATATTTTTAGGAAACCTTAACCCATCTTACAATAACAACTTAATAAAAGTCCACCTTAATCAAGAATTTGTGTTAAAAAAATACTCAGTCAAATACTCGATCCTTCTTACGTAGTATATTTTTTTTTAACCATTGTGACTACGAGCAGACATATTTACCAATACACAACTTACGCTCATAATTTATGTATTAGCAAAAACTACAACAATATGATATTTTGGAAATATTAATTACAACTAATAATTCAACAATATTCCATAACTACATTAGTGAAAAATTCTGCATCGAAGCAACCACATGAACTGTGCAAAATTGGTTAACCAATTATGGGAAAGAAAACCTCCGTTTTTAAATATTTGCTCCAATTCTACTTTTTGCACTGTTCATTTGTCGTACTTTGACTAATGTTTGTGATTTATACATTATATATATATATATAGTCTTGTGGGTACTTGTTGGAATCATCAATGAATAGATTATTAATTTTCAATTGTTAGAATTTATACTTATTGATAATTAAAGATATTATATTGATCAATATACGTGCCCAAGAGAAATAAAACAAGTATTTAAAAACGGGGGGAGTATTAAAACAAAATTGTTTTGACATTATTCACTCCATTACATATCATCTGACTACTTAAGTTTTTTTTTTTGTAGAATATGAATATTTGTCCATGAAAGAAAGTATCAAATAATTCATTTTCAATTTATCAATAAATAATGATCAAAATGATTAAGAAAAAGATGTACAACTAGATGAATGCAGGTGTTGATGGTGTTATCTAATAAGGTTGCAGGCCGAACTGCCGAAGTGCCATGATCATGGGTACCAATAACACAGCCGTATTTTGGCAATTTGGCGGTTGCACTAGAATAAGCCAATACATGACCCTGTCTCAAATAATAAATTATAAAATTTAATTTAAAAAATTGACATCTTCACCAATTAGAGTTTCTCAATGCACTGTTTTGGTTACATTCTAGGTAACAAAATACTTTGTATATATATGATTTTTTTTTTTTTTTGAATAATTAGGTCAAGTTCGAATTATAAGCAGTTTAGCACCAAGATAGATTGAGGGTGGAATGTAGATATCCGGATACCAAGAGGTCTACTTCTGGCAATTGCGTTATAAACCATTTTGAGTCATGGACAGGGGTGCACAGCCCATGCACAATTATATATTTCAATGTTTACGGCATAAGTGACGCTTACAGGTGAACGTCAGTTGGTGGCAGGGGACACCGGCCTTGGCTGGTGTGAATCCTTCTTAAAAGAGGATTGAGGATAGGGCCAAAATGCGTATTTAATAATCAAATAAGGAGTTAGAAAAAGAATAAGAAAAAGAAAAAAGGCCAAATTTCGGTGGCATTTCACAGCAGCAGACATTGCTAGTTTGCTACACATAAACAACTGACTGCCGAAAATATATGAAGATGGACATTAATCAAATTAGTGGCTAACCAAATGAGTTCCTCAGAATAATACCATGGAAAGGATTACAGATAAGATAACAAAGTAATCAACTTGAGGAGTATACAGGTTACAATAACAAATTTCATTTTGGAAAATAAGTATATAAATATACATTTATATTGATCAATGTTTAGTTCAATAATTTACTCCAGAGATCAGTAAGCCACAAGATTATTACAAATACGTCCCAATAGATATTAACATGTATTGATGCTCTCGCAAAAAAAAAAATGATCAGCAAGTCCCAAGATACGTCAATCACTCACAAGAAGCCATACGTTCTTGGGGTTTGAGACTGTACAAAATTTGCATGTTTGCCAAAAGAAATTAGTATACGTACATTACGCTGGTTAAGCCCCTGGTAACAGTGGTAAATCTCAGAATGCGGAATAGCTATCATGACGTGTATATACTGTCCAAAAGATCCTGCAGAATCAAAAGAGAGAAGATATCAAAATTGAGTCATAACCGCAGAATGACTGCAGACGAAGAAAAGTACATCCCATACAGAATTATTCACAACCAAAGAAAACCCTCTAATAAACATATACTCAAAGAATTAACTTCGCATCAGAAACATTACCTGCTACTAAAATTGAAATTTGAACTTCAAATTTCTCTGATGATGTTGCATTTTTATCAAACCACTACACCAGTACACCCCCTACCTATACAAGCACCAAGGCATCAATCATTTATGGTGAACCGGCATTATTACAACTTACAAACGCAACATCCTTGATGATCATAATTCATGCAAATAATGACTCCAGATTCTAGAAGAAAGTAGAAACAAACCGCAAATTCAGATAATTTCCATTTGAAAGGGTATCTGTTGGCCTGCTACAATATATGATTAGCGCACTGCAATATACCATCAAAAAGTATAAATGATGTCAAATTACAAGTGTCACAAATGCAATTGAAGCCAAGTGCAAAGTCTCGGGTTCTTCTATCACATAAATATTCATGGGAGATATACTAGTTTCTGTCTTGACAAACAGCCTTCATCAGCTTATAATTTTAAGCTAATTTAAGAAATGCCTCTCTATGTAGATTCTCATCTCAATGTTATGTAAGGATAAAATTTCTCACCTTTGCTTGGCATATCTTAGTTATAGCCTCTACATGAACATTTTGCAGTTTTTCAAGAGTAGCCATATCAAGGTCAGACAAGTCTTCACCCTGGTTAATAAAAAAAAAAAAAATTGAAAAATCAGTTGGGTAAACAAAAGAGTATTAGTCATTAGCACTTACTTGCAGTGCATTTGATGGCTAAATACATGTACCAAATCAAGGTATAAGTTAACAGCATAAGACATCCTACAACAGATAGTACAAGGTACTTGATTTAATAGGAAAAGAAAATGTAATGCACGACCCTTCAACCTGCATGACATACATACTTAAAGGACAATATACATCTAGATAGCAAATATAATGCACTAAAGCAACAAAGTGATGCACTGTCATGATTTTGGGACAAGTTTCTAGTAAATTTAATCAAAGAATACAATAATGAGGTGCAGAAACTATAATAGCTGGAGATAAGGAGGTAAGACTTATGAAAGAATAAACTGGATCAGACCGAGAACAAAATGCAAATATTGAACAATCACAAGGCCTATTAGGGAGTAACAAAGTTCATCAAGATACGAAAGTCAAAAGGCACTTTTAAAAGATTGGGAAAAAAATATTGAATATGCATTTTCTGACAAAAGTATATACACAGAGAGATTATTGATGTGATTAAGCATATCGATTTTTTTTTACATTCATCACATTCAAGGTCAATTCAGATTAAGATCAAATAATCTTGAAGAATCTAGTCATTGTTTACATGCCTTCAGTCTTGAAATAAGCTTCTCTAGCTCTTTGGACCTCTCTATTTCTTTCAAATTGCTGGCACCAGCTGAGCTTATCTTGTCCAAATTTCTAGATACTTGACTTCCTGCTGATAATAAGCTGCCCTTTGAGGTAATTCCAACTGGAACCTCGGCTGATCTATAATTAGATGTACCAATCCTATGAGATAAGACATCATCAGTTTCTATACCAGATTTCCTCATGTTTTCTATAAGAACCCACAAATTTTCTAAGTCACTCTCTAAAACTTCTTCGTGCCTCTTTGCCTTGCTAAGCTGTTTATCCAGCTCACGCTCTACTTGCTCTTTCTCAGATAAAGCAGCTTCTAGCATGGCTTCTCTTTGATATCTGGTATGAAGCTCATTCTGCAAGTACTCAACCAACTGTTCATATTCTAGTTTCCTTGAGCTTGCATCAATCTCAGCAAAACTATTACTGTTTTTATTCACATCAGACAAAGGTTGACAGCAACCAGATCCAGAATTGACCTCTTTTGTGGAACCCAGCTCACCAATCAGCTCCGCATTCTGATATGACAACCTAGTAACTTCTTCTGTCAAATGTTGAAGCTCAATTGCTGCAGCTGCAGCCAGTTCTTTTGCATATGAAGCCTCTTCTGCCAGCTTTTGGCTATGAATTTCCAGTCCAACTTTTTCTTCAGCTAATCTTGCATTCTCTTGCTTGAGATTCTCAATATTGGAAATCTAAGAAGCAAAACAACAATCTAAGTGAGCATCTAAACAATAATTTTAATAGCTCTCTCTCTCTCTCTCTCTCTCTCTCTCTCACTCTCTCACTCAGACAGAAAGTAGCTCTCTTTTGGTCCTAGTGAATGTCAGTTGAGAAAAATCAATAAGATGGGCTTATGAATTCGAAAAACAGAAAAAGTAACTAGCATAATTACCTGTAAATTTGAGTTTGTAGCATTCTTGCAATCTTTTGAATCATCCTGACCAAAGAACCGATTCAAACTTATCACACTAGTAGGTGTAGTTGCATCAAGAGGTGAATCCTTCCCTCCTTTGTTTTTCTCACCTAAATTGATAGGATTAGAATCTAAAGCAGAAGCATTGAGCATAGCAGACTGATTTTGTCCTTCAGGATAGATGGAGCAAATATCTGACGATGTGCTAAGTTGCTGTCTTAGTAGAAGGATGGCTTCTTGCATCTCAGCATTCTCTGAGATCTAAAAAATTATGGAGATTTCTCAGCAGGCTATCAAATTAGATTTGCAGAAAGAGTATAAAAATTGCACGATAATTACCTTCATTTGTAACTGTTCCCGAAGAATCCTTTTATCCACTGAATTGATCTGAGCAATCAACCACAGAAAACCATCAATAAAATATCATTATAGTTTATTGTTAATTTCCCTAAAGGAGAGAAGAAAAGGAGGACCTTTAATAATAAATAAAAAAAAGTTAAAGAATGATTAAAAATATAAAACTAGATGAATCAAACCAACCTCAAGTTCAAAAGTTTTCTCACTCAGCTGAGTAGCAATCTTAGCTAAAGCCTACATGAGAAAGCAATGATGTGAATTTGTAAAAGTAATGGCTCAATCAATTAAAAAAAAAAAAGCCATATACTCAAAATTTGATCAAGTACTCTCTTTTTGTAAACCAAGAGTATCAGGTTAACGTAGTACCAATTGGCATACATATTTGACAATTGACAGCGTAGCTCTTAAGCACACACCAGCAGCTTCATCATAATTGACTATAATGCCAACCCGTAGTCAAGGTATAGTTTTTACAGCAACTTAGAACTAATGCGTGTTTACTAGAAAAGATAGAAAAAGAGCGAGAAAAATGCAGATCATAATTTCTTATGATTTGTTTTGATCTACTACTTCACAGCTAGGCAGCCACTGGACAGACTCCACACTCAGTTGTCAAGTGCATGAATTGCTGATTCTCTTATCTAGGGTGTGAGCAGGTGTAAGGATATAAATTTGTGTTCCTTTATACTTCTTCCATTTCTTTATAGTTATAACACACACTTTATCACGGTATTTAAGAAAAGTGGACCTCACATGATATAATACACTTAAAGTGGGGTTAAGAGGTTATTAGGAGTACAATCAAGTAGGCCATAAGCTTTAAATAAAGGTAATAGTACAATTTTCACTATAAAAACCTTCCTTTTATAGTGTGTTGCAACTATTGTGACATTTCCATTTGAGGGAAGTGTTGCAACTACAAGGAAACGGAGGAAGTACATCGCTACAGCTAATAGCCTTGTAAGAGGCACTAAATCGATGATTTGGTTGGACCATACCACTTGATTTCTTACTGTTTTTTAACAAAATACATCAGTCTTCCTTTAATTAAAATAATTGCTTCTTATGGGTCATAGTTATCAGTCCATTGTGAACCATTTCTAATAAGAAGGCATATCATTATACTCTTTCTGTTTTACTAGCAAATTGTTGACATTTGCCACTATTGACAATTTCTGTTAGACCATCTTTAGCGATTGATATGTAAAGCAAGGTATAATCAAGTCGGATCTTGTTAGACTCGTCTCGATGTATATTTTCAAACTATCAAAATTTATAATTTTTACTTAATGATGAGATTTTAGTAGTTGAAGTTATGCATTGGCAAAAGTGAAAGTCAAACCATTGCATAATAAAAGAGAACGGAGGAAGTATAATTAATACCTGAGACAGCTCAGACCTAGGCACACTTTGTGGAGCTGCTTCCAGTGATACTTTTATGCACTGCTCCAGCTGATGTATTTGCAGCTTTTTTTCAGTGATTTCATTCTTCAACTTCCGTATTTGCTCCTGTAATGTATATACATATCACATACCGATAAGATATGAATACAACATTACAACCATCATTCTTTTTATTGTTTAAGATTTAAAATCCTGATCTGGCTGGTGCTGGAGGTCACAAACTATACCTCATCACGAGAATTTTCGGGGCTGTTAATTGCTTCCCCTGATAGTCTTTTGAGAGAGTAGGTACACTGTGCAACCTCTCCAGCAAGCAATTTTAATTGCTCTTGAAGGACATCCAGCTGATCAGTAATTGTTGTTCCAGTCTGCAAAATGCATATTTAGAAAAACCAAGAAATTTAATTTGAAGGAAGAGCAGATCTTTATATTCTTCTTGAGAAAAAACAATTTTTCTGAATCAGCATTTTAACAATGGACATGATACTTGCACTTATGCTAATCGACAATCAACAAGCTCTTGGTACTAAGATTATCAACAAGACACAGAAGGAATGGCATGATGAAAGGTAACACCCAAAGATGTCTATTAGGCCAGTACTGAGTGAGTCAGCTGTCAACAAAAGTAATTTTATTACAACTCAAGCTGATGATAATTTACACTTCGTATAATATAAGGCAGTTTCACAAAGCTTTGAATAGACCGTTAACTTGCAGATAACTGGAAGTAGGTGTTAGTGGTAGATAAATATATTAAGGGCTAAAACATCCATCCGGCATCCACCCCATAAAAAATCCCCAGAAAGAACTTTAGGCTCACTTATAAACCAAACGGTTAAGATCCTTGAACCCCAAAAGGTAATGTGGATGTTTAAGCTCTTTCTACCACCATACCAAAATGGTAATTCAAATCTGTTACGGTGTTTCTTTCGGAAAAAATAAAAAAAATAAAAAAAAATAAATTCTGTTAAGGGGTTTACAATTAGTTAGGACAAACAAAGGCAACAAAAACAGTAGTAAAAAAAGTACACAAGAACAAGCAACACAAATGATTTTGATCTACTATAAGTGTCTGACTGAATAGTACTTAAAAGAACTAGATGATTTCTCACCAGGTTAATATGAGAAAGCCCAATTCCAGTACTAAGGAATTCATCAGTTTGGCCCTTTTCTGGAGAAAAGTTTGTTGCTGGAAGATCACCCTGCTTCCTATTGACTAATTTCCTCTGTTTTTCTTTTACATCAGAAGCCATTACTCTGTTTTGTGAGGATCTGGAAGCAGTTGCAGGAGATCCACTAGTTGAACTCTGACCATCATCAGTGGCAACTGGAGACAATCCGCCAACAAGCTCAGGCTTCTGCACAAAAATGCATGAAGTTATTGCTGGAACCTAAATATGATGAAAAATAATAGAATCCAACAATAAATATATCAAACGAATTTTAAAAAGCCATTCATGTTGGTTTATTCCCACAAGGTTTACAATGTGCAGTGCCAATGTCTTACAAAGAAATATGAAGAAGCATTGAATCATTATAGTGCAGAAGTAGGTCCCTTTAGGAAACATGGTAGTGCATGTGGAACAAAGAACCAGAAAAACTTTAAAGGGAAATTTTCTTCAAATTAAGAATCTTAATTTTCATTTGTATGCACGTTGTTGATTTCTCTTCTGAAATTTTTTAGGATAAAATCATATATACACCCATGCAGCAAATGCGACTGCGTTAAAAAATGTTTAAGGATACTTTGAAAGATGAAAATTCTATAAGTAACACTTTTAACCTCTTAAGGTAGTACCCATCTACTATCAATGGGTCTCAATAATTTGCAAACTATCAAAAACACTAAGTTAATGTTGGAATCTTAAGAGTGATGGAGCATAGAAGTAAATAGTGTGAGATGATTAAAGAATAATATTAACACTCTAGAGTGACAACAGTTGACAAGGAGAGATGTCAGGCAGGATATATGTTCAATTTTGCAAGTTAAGTGCCATATTTCGAAAAGCTAAATAAAATATTCTATTAAATATACAAAAAATTAAAAATTAAAATAATAAAGCTTAGTGTGTCTATGGGTAGGGTTAGGATATTGGATCCAAACAGTTCTAGGTCGAGTCTTAGATCCATTTCCATCCCTACAATCACTTAATCAACATTGCAGAGATTCTCATTTGACATCATTTTTCTTTAAACAAAACAGATTTTCATCAATTGAATAATCCAATTGCAGCTATTTTGATTTAAAATCTTCACATTGCAATAAGTAGTAGCATTTGGCAGAACAGATCCAGACATAAGTGTTAAGCACGTTTGTAAACACTGAGGATAACACCAAATAGACTAGAAGAGGAGATTAACAATGAATGAAGCAAAGAAAGAAAGAAAACTGTAATTCCAATAGATAACAGATTCTGCAAGCATTTCAATAGTTACATAAAAGCATAGTTCTCATATTTATGTGGCTGTGCCAATCAAGAAATGAAATTTCTGAGGAGAAAAAGATGGGAGAAATAATTACTCTTGACTTAAACCATCCAAGCATTCCTTTTCTTTTACTCTTCTTGTAATCCTTAACAATCTCATGTAGATTGGTTGGATTGACACAGCCATCAATCGGAACCTCGGGATCCAGACTTCCACCACCAGAATCATCGCAACAAATTGCATTCTCCCGTGTCCTATCTGGTAAATGTGCAAGCTGCATCCAGTTCAAGACTTACAAATTATAATAAGAGTTAAAATAACTAATTCAGAATTTTAGAATAAAGAAGTTTAGTGCTGAATCAAGCACCTCCTCTTCACCAAAGGAATGCCTTCTTGTATAGACAGACTTTTGAGGGACATGTGTTGTTCCCGGAGTATTTCTTGTTGAAACCAAAATTAATTTTGTGAGCCGTTGAATTCTTCCTGTAAGAGCTGCTCTAGCTTGCTCCTCCTCCTCTGTGCTAGACTGCAACTGAGCCTGGCCTGCTTCCAGCTTTAGAAACATTTTTATAGGAGAGAGGGAAGAAAGTTAGAAGACATGGGGAAATTATTCGAAAGAAAACATAAAACAAGATTTCCCTACTTTTCTGCATATATACAACACTGTTCACTATATAAAAACGCGTACACAAAATTGTCAATCAAATTATTAAGATTACAAGAGAAACCCCCCCCCTCCCCCAACAAACCAATCATGCAACTAATGACTAACAGTTGTCAAGCCTGTATATGCATACAGCATGAACAGCTTTAAGTTTGATTCAGTTAGCATATATATATATATATAATTTAGAAACTCTAAAATTGCACTCCAAATGAGATATCAGCAAATGTGACAGAGCTAATATCATCACTATCCATCAGAGGAAAAGAAAGAAATGAGTTAAACAATTTTTTTTTTGATATTTTAGTACGTGAATATTGAAGCTCTAAGGGTTCCGAATTGATTGGCAAAATTCCTCATGCTATATGAAACTCTAGTCTCAATCATAATTCATAAACTTAAACATTGTATCACCGTCTAAGTTTTTGTCTTTTTTAGGAGTAGATTAATACCATCATGATTGTCTATATGGAAAGAAGGTTTCCAAAGTTGGCTGAAACCATCACAAAAACACACATAAAACTATAAAAGAGAGAGTTGTGACTTATGAGATAAGATTAAGCATACTGAAGTATACAAAGAACCATAAAAGTCGTTAGGAGTTATAGAATAGGTGAAATCCCTAAAAGCATAAACCAGAATAACGTGAAAGTTATGTGATGACCAAAAGAAAGCAGGGGAAGAACACAAATATACACAAATTAGGGACTGATGTATGAGGATTAGTCCTTTGACCTTAATTGTTTTCTGAGTGATAAAAAAGGTCATTAATTAGTACAATATCCTTGTTAAACTGTTGAACATACAGTGGCATGTACCTGCAGCTTTAGGCTAACCAAATCTTCTGGCGTTGACACATTCACACATGTATCCTCTGGTATGCCATGCTTTAGTGTCTGAAGCTCTTGCTTTAGACTTAAAATTTCTTTTTGGTACTTCTTAATGAGGGATTTTTCGTCCAATATCTACCAGAAATAAAAGTCAATGACAAACAAGCATTAAAAATGTAGCGATATTTCTATGACAGCATGTAAGAAATACAAAACAGAAGCTCTCCTAAAGTTACCTTATTTTGAGAAGCCTTAATTTCTACATGCTTACTCCTGTGCGCAAACTTCAAAGTATTGTGAGTTTCTTCACTGTGGCCAGAGGCAGGAGTCACAGTGCAGATAAGCTACAATAAGATTAAGCACAGAAACAATTGTCAACAAAATAAGAAAATCAATTTTTAGGTGAAAGCAGCCTCAATACTTAGTGATTTGAAATTAACTCACTGAGATTCGTCCATGGCCACTGAGAGAGGACTGCAACAAACGGGTGAGCTTTGAATCACGATAAGGAATATGAGATGCCTTACCATCAGTTAGCTTGGAGATTACCTGCAATGATACAGAAGATTCATTAACAAATATTTAAACTACAATAGCAAATAATAATCATTGACAGCATATCACAAGCAATCATGTAAGAAAAACTATTAGATCTGAACTTGCCATGTCAAACCAGAAAAAATATACCAGTATTAAGTATGAAGAATAATTACAGGATGTCCAACTAGAGTTCTTTATCTATGTTCCACACCTTTTGACTTGCATGGAAAGAGTCTCATTAAGTTGCCAGCATGGATAGGTTTCCCATCAGACAACAAATCAATGATCAATTAAACTAGTTATTTGGATGATTACATAAATATCTTGCTTCTTAAAGGAAAATAAACCACTTACAGTGCCAAGAGTTAGCAAACTTTTATTTATGTATGAGCCTTCTTTTCTACGTAATCCATTTGTTTCGATCTTCGAACTTTCAGACCCGGCAAGATCAATCAAATGCTGTAAAGATAGAGAAGAAGGGTCAAAAAGTGACTAAAATATCTTGATATAAAACTTAAATAACATATCTTATTGAACAATGATATATATAGAAAGACTTGCCAATTGAGACAGTGATACGTCTTCTTCCCCTTGACTTTGACCGTGTGGACTGCTTTCAATGGTCTGAAAGGCCATCAATTTTGTCAATGATCTTATGAATAAGAATGAAACGTTAAGAAAACATTACGCAAGAAAATTCAAAACAGAGAAATACTCCATTATGGCCACAATACTCAAGGTAAATAACTTGTGCAATGGACAGTACAAACCCACCTTGAATAACTAGCCAATGTTTGTGAAAGGTAGAAGGCTTTATTTCACAATCTTTAGCAGACAAAATTTTACGAGTTACAGCTATAACTTCCAATTCTTGAATTCACAGGTACATGGCAAATTATCTATCCTTGACCCCCTTACCTTTAATGACATATTTGAGTCAAGAACATGAAGGAAAAACAGAGTTTTAAAACAACAGCCTACTTTGACAGAGCCAACCAAGTTAATTATTCAAATTTGAGTACAAAATTCAACATCATTCACCACTAGCAACAGTATCTAGTTGCAATGCATCTCAGAAATCAAGACTCAGAGCTCCGAGGAAAAAAGAAATCTGCAGGAGTGTCCAGGGATCGATCTATGTTGAAGGGTTTTCCCATAATATATGGTCCTGACTCCTGAGCCAGAACAAAGGAGTATATTGTAACAAAGTCACTAAGTGAGTAAATCCACTTCCAAAAGCTGCAATAAATCAATTCTGGGTTATTCCACCCTGTTGGATCAAGCCTTATGTGTACTATACTACTATGGTCTAACTTGGACAAATTAGAAAAAGTTCAGAATGAAGAAGGCAAAAAACGGAAGGGGGTATCACACACCACAGGAATGTCTGCTAGGAATGAGCAACAACATAACAGAGGAAGCCCTAGTCAGGTAGCACTATAGTGTTGATTTGTTTACTCAGTTGTTTGCTTAACATTCTTGTAACAACGTTGCCTCTAAATATAAAAGAGAAAGTAAGACTTTGTAGTTGCATCACTAATAAGTTGATTGGAAATTGGAAGCCCTTATCTGAATAATTTTTCCTGAAATTTGCTTTATTTACATGGATTTGAACAAAGCCTAAGCACAAAATTAAACTTTCATAAAAATTCCTTGGGTGTTGCATTGTTGTTTGCTGTCAAGAAAAAATACCTCCATACTACAAATACATCTACAAAGGGTCCCAACCATCCTAGCATTGGCAGAGTATGGAGGACCTATGATGTACCCAGACTTTTCACTTATTGCTGAGAGGCACGATCCCTCAACCACATACCTATTGGCAGATCAAGAATGATACCAGGCATGCATGCCAGAAACCTATTTGCATAAAAGATACACTTACCAAAGTGAAAATGGTGTGACTTCGACTGCTAAGTAGATTGAAGTTGTTGGAGCCAACATGTCTATGCGCTGGAAATATTAGAAATAAAACCATTCAGATGATAAACTGGGGGCTTGATTGTGAATCTTGAAAAAAGCCAAGTAGCCAACTATTGACAACATTACAGCAGCAATAAAATTAGGGGGAATAAAATCCACGAACATAAAAGGACATATATTGACATATATTATTAATGTTAAGAACACTTATGTAAAGTGCATGTCAGAATCAGCCCTCAGGGAGCAAACACATTCAGAAAGCAACCAATCTAGGTTTACCTTTTCAACAGAAGACACTGAAATACAACTCAAGCGTACCTTCACCAGTAGCAATCAAGGATAATGCATGAGCGGGTGAGAGTACAACTTCATCTTTAATTCCTTCAATGTAAGTTCCCTGCAAAAGTTATAGCCTGCATATCATCAAGACAACAATGGGAAGAAACACTACATATTTGAACATCCAGAGCAAATAGAACAATTTATTAGTGTGGCACTTATTCTTTTATAATCAGAACCCTACTATTGACACTTGTGTTGATCCCAAATGAAATTTATTGAAGATAAAGAAATTTTTTATGCAATCAATATATCAGCTATAATTATTTCATTCTGTATTATACTAGAATGAGTAGGTTCTGGAAGACAAGTAAACGGTTTAGAATTTGGTAACAATCGTTGTACTTATTCTGGGGTCAAACATATTTTTTTGCAACGGGGTCAAACATACTTGGACATGATTTTAGGTCACTTTTTCTTTTTTGTAACCTTTAGTCACATTTTTTCATCAGTCTCTAAAATGTATTCTCATCTATTAAAAAAAAAAAAAAAAAAAAAAACACCTCTCATATCCTCCCACTTGTCTATTCTCAAAACTCTAAATTCAGATCCTGCAGTAAGTATCTGTAATTTATTATAATAAAACATCATTTTGTACAGCTTCTGCAACTGTAAATAGATTTGTTCATAAAGTAGACCGTTCCATGTCCCTTTGATCCTAGTAACATAACCACTTTCAACTCATCAATATTAGCACATGTACCTGAGTATCTTCTCGAATTCGTAAGCTCTGTCCAGCTGGATCCAGCAAATCATTGATAACCTAAAAGAGCAACATTAAGAATTAACGAGGTAGTTTAACAAGTTCAATGGTAGCGATATAAAATCATTGACAAAAGTACCAACATAGTGTCCCTAGATTAAAGGAGTTAAGCCTAAAAATCTGATTTTCTAGACTATTCAAACTGATGCATAAACTTTTTTAAATTAAAAATTAAAAAAAAAAATAACCTGAAGGGAATTATGTGCTTCCTCCATTCTTTTAAATTGCAACATGGGGGAAGACACACATTTTAAGAAGTCATGTGATGGGACCAAAGACCAATAATGTGATGAGGAGAAAAATAGAGAGATAAATATGGACAGATGAGATGAGGATAAAGGCAACCCAGATCCAAAAAAAATGTAATGTTACAAGTATGTTAAAACTTTTTAAAAAGGAAAACGTTGCAAAACCAAAGAACTGAGAAATACAATTAAATGATGATATCCCAATCCCATTAAACAATCATTGGCAAAAGGGCAGATTCTTAATTAAGAGCTGATGCTCACAGCTCAAAACAGGGAACTTTTTATTAACAGAATAGAAATTGTTTTCAATGGAACTTCCAAAAACAAAACAATAGTGATTCTTCAACAACCAATATTTTTCCATTGCAGCTAATTTTGTGTTCAGTCTCCTCAAATAATTACAAGGATGTAAACTTTCAGAGATATTAGCATATTATGGAAATATGAGTTTTAAAGTCAACAGAAAACCCAGAAGGAGGTGGGTTGTTTTACAAGCTAAATGGCATATATGACAGTATCTTCTTATACTTCTATCATGGATTCCGAACACACTGCTTCCTGAATATCTTCATTATGCAATGTTTGAATCAAAACAGAATGGTAGGGACTTAGGGAGCACCATAAAAGACACCCCTTATTCTAATTCATCTGTCTATTTTTCATTACTCATTTCTTTGTACAATTCATTCAAGGACTAAAAACCGGCTATTATATCAACAGTTACTGACACTAGTATCTTACAAGGTTGATTTTGTAGTAATTCAGCCATTCAGAAAGAATATTAGAGAAATACTAACCTCATTGTAGATTTCCAGATAAGAAACACGAAGAAGAAACTCCCTGCCAGGTGTCTGAAATGCATGACCCATGGTGAGTTTACATACAGAAAATAAAGAGTACAGCTTTCAGTATAGAATCAATGAGTAATATAATGAGGTACCTCCTGAATGATTTCAAAGACATCTTTCACTGCTAATGGAATTATTCCAGGAGACTTCTGCAGCCCCTGTAATCAAAATCACAGCGTCAACATTGCAACTTATGCAAGCTCAAAGAGCATCATACTACACAATCCAAAGAATTACATAATCAGATGGTTTATTAGAAGATGGCCCCCAAATTTAGGTAAGTCCTTGACTACAAAAGCCAATTGCTCCATGTAGCTAGTCATCTAAACTCTCTATTTTATAGGCTTTCTAGTGTAAAGGTATGCATGTTGCCTTGTGTTCATATAGGAGCAATGAAATTTTTATGTTTTTCCGGGGCTTCTAGAGTTTGGGAATTTAAGTCCCAACTCCAAAGAAATTTTGTTCTCATTCAAAAATTAACAAGGAAACACACGCGCGCGCGCACACGTGCGTGCCCCCCCCCCCCCCACACACACACACAAAAAAAAACTTTTATATTTATCTGTGTCCTAAAGAATAAGACACAGAGGAATGCACACAACTTGTAACCTTACAAACAGCAAGTATTTGAAGTTTCCATTCCTCTAATGGTTAACTGGTGAAGAGAGATTTTCTACCGAAGACGAAACTACATATAATGGAAGACAAATCTCACTTGGATCAGATTGCAGATAAATTTATGCCCTAAGTCATCTGACTATTTCGTTCTATTCCTAACACCACAAGGCTGAAGAACACGAAATTGTTTTTACAATAAAACAGCATCTTTGCCCACACTTCCTGCTGTTCCCAGCTCAGCAGCTTGAAGTCAAGGGTGCAGCCACGGTGGCAGCACAGGGCCTCCTAAAATAGAAGGGCCTCAGTTATTAATACAGAATCATTAAGTAGCAACTTTCAACTGGTAATCAACTAATTACGTATGGCTCAGTAATAATTCGTGAAATGAAGTATTCTATACATTGAGACAAGATCTCTGCAATTCTCGATCACAAATCCCTATACATTTTTTTTTTTTTAAAAAAAAAAAAAAAATCCAAAAGCCCTCTAGTTTCACTAACCTTCCATTAACAATTTATGGTAAATTGGTAATTATTGCTTACCTTCCTTTGCTGTTTCCCCACAACTCCAGTTCTCAAATCCCTTCCATCACAGTACATTAGATATTTAGCCTAGCATGTAACAAATTCCATAAGGGTATTAGGGTATGTATTATTTACTACTCTGTACTTTGTTTGCAAAAGCTAATATTTCTTATATTCAATCAATGGTGATTACTATAAAGGTAATATACCTTAAACTTCTCTGCCCTTCTTGTTTTAGTGATTATTTAGGCTGTTGGTTCAATCAGAATTATATGAGAGCTTAATTGTTATTTTCTCTTCAGATAGTGGTTAATTACCTTTGGCTATATCAAACTTAGAAACTTTAAGGGCAAAGTTGTAGAGGACCCCAATCTGTCTTAATTGCAAAAAGGCTCTATAATAATAGAGAAGGCCCTGCTTGAAGTGAATAAATCAACGCATAAACTCCTGAGGAGACTAGTAAGGGACATCCGCTACAAATTTTAGTTAAACCCAAGAGACCCAACTGTTAAATCTGCCCAGCCATGCCCATATTGAGCACATACCCAACACTTAAAATGGACGACTACTCGAGATAAATTCTTTAAAGTAGCTTAATGACCTCTTTTAGGCACTTCTAAGGGCTAAGATATCCAACGCATCATCATATTTGAATATAAACACTGACAAAGAATGGGTAAAGAACCAGATATGTCTTGTTATCCATTTTTACAGAAAATCTTATCATTATTATCTGCACACGCCCCTTATATATCATATTTCATTCATTTATTATTACGATGTGATGAAACATTGAATACTATGGAGGCACTGAAACACAGATCACTCACTTTGATATATTCACATAATTTCACAGTTGGAAACTAAAGCCTGGAACAGTTCAAATCACATTGAATCATTACATTAACCAAAAGTCCAAAAGGAACTACAATGTGTTATTCATGATCCCCAAATTGGAACATATGCTCCTCGTCAGAATGATAAAATAGAAGGATAACAGTGATGTAAAGAAACAATTAAGATCTGAGAAGTAAAATTAGTGAACTAAGAAAATATCACTTACATGCATTGTGTGCGTCTTCCCACTACTAGTAACTCCGTATGCAAAGATAGTACCTGCACGAAGCAAGGCCATTGTAGGCTGAGAGTCATAACATGAAACATATTCCACATTCCAACTACTATGCATTCAACTCACATCATGGACTAATACATTATTGTTTAGAATGCATAAATTGCAACTTCACATTGACCCCAGGACTCAAACATTTCAAAGGAGGAACATGAACATTTATAATTAAAAACCAGAACATGAGGGCAATTTCACACAGTGGAGAAGAAGCTGAGGGAATTGGGAGCAGGAAGAAAGCAAGAGACAAGAAGAGACAGCATATCACTAACATTGATCGCGTATCCATGGTTCCTCAATGGAAGGGCAATTGCAATCTTTTGTTGCTTTGCCATTAAAAAGAAAAAAAGAAAAACAATTGGTTGCTCTAACAGGCAATTTTGCTGACATTAACAGCATATTTTAGAAAGAACGAGTAATTACCATTTATTCCTTCCATAGCACCACTCACAACATGATGAGCAGCAATATCGTATACATGACGTGTGGTTGTTGCAGGGCCAAATACTCTATCTGCATCAAGCATAATTACAACAATTGAGAGCTAAATTCCAGAAATTTACCAGCACTACATTTTAATACACCTTAATTAGAGAAAACAGGGTGAAAATTCAGGAAGTACATCAAGAAAAACAAAATTTGCTAAATACCTCTTATAATGAACACAATAGAAAATTAATAGTCACTAGAGCAAATGATTCAAATCGACAAGGCAGCCTTCGATTATATGAAAAAAGTTTTATACTTCGTGTTTAACTAGGACTAATACACTTTTGGTTTACTATGTTACTTGGAGTCGGGTACCCATGTCCGACATGGGTATGTGTCTAAGCAACCGACTCGGCTATTTGTGAAAATACTCCATGATTTTGAACTAAAAGTGAAGTGTCCAAGTGTCATTAAGTCCGAGAGTCGGGGTCCGACATGGGCACTTGATGTGAAATGAAGAGTCGGAGCAACATAGTTGATATAAATTTCTATCAAATACACGATTTCAAAGTTTTTACCACATACAAACAACTAAGTAAAATCAAGAAAATCACAAACCAAAAGGGTGCATTTAAGAATAATAAGAAAAAGGCACCATAGAGCCCTTGACCTCTAACAAGTGAACACAAAACACAATTTACGACCCAACAATTACTCCTCGCGGCCAAGTTGGTAAACATCAAGACTTACACAACCTTACTTCTAACTAGTCAATACTAAAAACTTCCTCTCCCCCTTCCTGTGACTAAAAAGAAACACAGAAGGAAACTAAAACTTTCCATAAAAGGAGTTTTTTCCATAAAAGGAGTTTTCCTCTTTTGAATTAAATTATTTTTTTTGTACATACACCTTATTTCGGGCAAATATGCACATTTCATTAAAAAAAAAAAACTCAATCATTGCATCACATCAACATAACACATTTATCCACAACAACAACAACAATAGTACAATACCAAAACATTATTCCCAAAACTAAGGAGTCATCTACATGAACCAAGATACATTCCATAAAAGGTCGTCCACGGTCCACAAAGATCCTCATCCTCCATTTACTCATTCATTTGAGCACTACGTGCTATTGCGAACACGTATCTTCGCGATATTATTACCATAACACATTTTTATACATTTCACTTTACATACAGTAATTAAAAAAAACTAAAAGAGCAAAGGAACTGACCAAATGCATAAGCAATGTTAGGGTTAACCTCATTCCGAACTGTGCAATCTCCATCCGCATACCACGCTATCTCATTTCCTTGCTTCATCTCTCTCGCACTACCATCGTTATCAACAACAAAACCAAAAATCACACAAAAAATTCAAAAAAATCAAAAAAATAAATAAAATCAAAAACACAAACCTGAGAGGACGAAATCGAACAGTAACAGTGACATTCTCCTTAGGTTTACTAAACTCAGGTCGCTCCGACGACGGACTCGCCGGACGTCCGGCGACATTCTTGACCGCCGGCGAAGAAAACGGCGAAGGAGAACCTTTTATTGATCGGAAAGGTGACGTGGAACGAGGAGATTTGGAAGAAGTAGAGCTTCCTCCCACCATTGTTGCAGCTTCAAGCTGCTGTTAGTTCTTCAGTTTCTCTCTCTTCTGGTCTGAGTTTCTCTCTCTAAAAGACTGTGTTGTTTGTCTCTGTTAAATTTTGATTGTTGGAATGAAGGAGGAAAAAAAAGGAGGGAGGAGTGGAGGTCACGTGCCTTCACTGACATTGCCGCCTTAATTATAAGGTTTTATTAACAGTATCAGATTGTTTATTTGAGTGTCCCTCCAAAATTTGGGGTTAAATTTATTTAAATTTTTTTAGAGAATCTCTGGATTTGTTTGTTTGGCTGTGGTTTACGGGTTCGTTTAGGATTGCTCTATTTAACTTTTTACGGTTTTTAATAAATTGGTTATTTTTTAAGTAATTGTGAGGTGAATTATAAATAAAAGAAACAGTGAAAATATGGATAATTCTTATCAGACTTCAACTTGTGCGGTTTTTTTCTTATTTAATACTTTCAGGCTAGACACTTGAGAGTTGAGAGTAGAGGGAAGGGCGAGGGAATCCCTATTTGCAAGCATCCTCACTTGATAGAATTCGAACCCCAAAACTTTGGGATCAAGGTAAGAAACTTATCAAATAAACCAACAATTTATTGGTAAGGGTATTATTTGTGATGGTTGAAGTGAAATGAATGAATATATTATCAAAAAAAAATTAAAGTCTAACCCATAAAAATACAGTATTAACATCTTCAACGTATGTAGTACTTGAATGATAAAATTGGATTAATTACAGTATTTGACCCCGTATTATATTAGGTGGGTGGGTTGGATCATAAGTCAGAAGGTGGGGTCTCTCGTGTTGTGTGTGCATTTATCTGCTGGAGATGAATATTGTGACAGCAATATTTGGAGTTACTGTCTTGTGCTTGTAGCCCTCCTGTTTTTTTATTTCTATATCTTGAAATTTCTTTTGGAGATTCGCAAATCAGAGAATCGTTCTTTAATGGCATACCAAATACTTCCTCTATTATGTACTCGTACTTCGTATTTTCATCACGTAAGCAAAGGAAATCTCTAACCATATGGCCTTTATCTAACACTCTTTATTTGTAAACAAAAAAATTTGTTAAGTGTAACTTGTATCCGGGTATATATTAGAAATTTCAACTAAATTTGAAACACGTATTTATTCATCTGTTATCGACAAAATATTGGCACAAATGTACAATAGTAATGAAAAACTTTTTCAACCTTGAAGATCAAAGTTCCATTTCCCCTATGGTACTTCGAGTCTACAATGGGGATCCCTTAATCTAACTCTTGATGAGTAACATTTTGTTTTTAATACATTAGTAAATATTATAGTCATGTTATTATATATAAATATACAAAAAAATTGTATATAGCTTAGGTCGTTAAAAGCTTCCCTTCCAATTTCAATGTGTAATGACTCCATATAAAAACATAAGGACAAGGACGTTATTAACAAAAATGACTATTTAACTATCTAAGCCAATTACCAACTATAATTTAATATGTAAAAAAAAAATTATATAAGTGCAAACCACAAGGTCTAATTAAAAAAATACTCAAAGAATAATTCAATTTTGGTTTGACTATGACAATTTCAGTTTTAAAAAGCCTTTACAAAAATTTATCGATTGTACGTCTACAATAATAGCAATCTGGGCAACGCTCGGGCTACTCACAAGTTAGCGATAAAAAATCATACATAAAACAATAAAGTGTGTAAGACTTATTTATAAGTATAATGTTTCTCTCCTAACAACACTCTACTTTTTATATTATTTCTTTCTCAAACTATGACCATGTTCTTTTCATCTTAAGAAAATATATATTAAGTAAAAATAATTTCAATTAAGTAGAAATCAATAACTTTAACGAAGAATAATAATAATAATGATAAATCAATTAAAATAATTTCAGTTTAATGAAAATATTATAGTATAAAATTAGGTGAAAGGAACATGACCTAAAAGTTAAGTATATCTCCACTAATTATATTTTATATTATCAAACTCCTCTTTTGGACCACACTTTATACTTTTCTAAGACTTTAATTTAGTGTTGCGATTAAGGCAAATTTTTATATGAGGCTAGTCACACCATGTGTCAGGGGTTACTCGGCCAGGGGTACTTTAGGGTTTCCATTAGGGGTTACTCGGCCAGGGGTACTTTAGGGTTTCCATTAGGGGTTACTCGCCCAATTCGATCAGGGGCTAGTCGAGGGGGAACTCAATTAGGGGTTATTTGAGGGGGTTCGGCTAGGGGTTACTCGGTCAGGGGTTATTCGGGAGGTTATTTGGTTAGGAGTAACTCGAGTAACCCCTGACTGAATAACTCGAGTAATTCCAGCCACACGGTGTGACCAGTCACACAAAAAAATCCCCTTGCGATTATTACGAAACGGAAAGAGTAAAAGATATTTATGACAAACTAGCCTAATTATGCTATTGTAATTGCATTTTGGTAGCTAGATAGTTAAGACGATTCCAACAAGTTTTTTACAAGACTATATTTATTTTTATGTATTAATGACAAACATTAGTCAAAATAAATAGTGAGTTAATTCAAAACTTTTTAAGGAGCAGTTATTTTAAAATTGGTAGGATGTATAAATAAAAAATCTAGTTTGGCGCCAATTTGGGAACGACCAGCCCATACCCTCAAATTTACCACTCCCTCTCTTCAACTTCACTACTTTCGTCCCCAAAAAAACTCCCCAAATTTTTCTTCACCTAAAACCCTAAATCTTAAACATTCATCAATGGCGGAAACAATCTCTCTCATGGACGTCGACGAACCCGACAACGACACCATTTCCAAACCTATCATCAAACCTAACAAAGGCAAAAATGTCGTCGTTCCCGGCGACGGAAAATCCGGCCTTTGGGTTGAAAAGTACCGACCTCAGTCTCTCGCCGACGTTGCGGCACATCGTGACATTATCGATACAAGTAATTCTCCCAATTTTCGTTTGGTTTTGTTCGATTTTGTCGCAAATTAGGGTTTTTTTTTCCCTATTTGCTCTGATTGATTGTGTTTTGGGTGCAGTTGACAGGTTGACAAGTGAGAATAAATTGCCGCATCTACTACTTTATGGGCCTCCAGGAACAGGGAAAACGTCGACAATTTTGGCGGTTGCTAGGAAGTTGTATGGGAATCAGTTCCATAACATGATTCTTGAGCTTAATGCTTCCGATGAGCGCGGTATTGATGTTGTTCGTCAGCGAATTCAGGATTTTGCCAGCACCCAAAGTTTCTCCTTTGGGTAATTTTTGTTATTTTTCATAAAAAAATCTATTTTGGTGGAATTTATTTATATTCTTTTGTGTATGTTGTGTTGATGTTTTGATTGTTTATTAAGTTCAATGGAAATTTGGTTGTGTGAGGTGAAAATTAGAAAGTAAGTTCTAAGTGATATGTTGCTGAGAAGCCTCTTTGACATTGTTTATTGAATCGGAAGGGGGAATTAGAGGATAGAAGCATGGCAACAAACCACATTGTTTGGGGTTTAAATATAGCAGTGTTATACTACTAGTTAAGTGTAAGGTGGAGCGTTCTACAGCTGTAGATTTTGTGTTTATCGGGTGGGCTTGGCTGTTTTCAGCTAACCTGTTGCTTCTTTGTTATGTTTTTGGTCTAATTTAGGATGATCTCGTTTCATGTCCACGGTGGTACACGGACTCTTCATTTCTGAAAATAGCCAATTTCGACACTTGGAGATTTATCTGTACTAGACATGAGCATCCAAGTCCGTGTAACGTAGCATTATAAGTGATGAGGTGGCTCATAAAGATGTTGTACTCAACCTTTTTGTGTTATTTGAAGTCATAGTATAGAGTCTGGCAATGTAGATCTCTCTCTCTCACTTTTTAGGTGTGAGTTATGCCTAATTGATAGATGAATTATGTAACTGACTGTAAGTCTTTAAGTGCTGTTTTGTAAGGGTCTTAAGTGTCCCCACTTCTTTGTAATTTCAGCCTATGAATCATGCCATTATTGGTGATAAGTAGATAGAGATACCAAATGCAATGTGGTCATACACAGTTTTTATTTTATTTTATTTTATTTTATTTATATTAATTTATTTTTTCCAGGCTCTCTTTCTCTTGATTAAGTTATGGCATTGACACTATTTGTACTGCTCATTTATAGGCATTTCTGGCATTTAGTGAAATGATTTGTGGATAATAACGGGGTAATACTCATGCCACAATCGGCTAATTTTCAAGGCATTAATTAATTTCTGACTGCAATGAGAATTAAATTTTAATTTATGAATGCTGAAAGAAACCCTTTATAACACCTTCTGCAATCATAACTCATTTATTAAGTCTAAAATGAGTTAAGAAGGGAATTTTTGGATACCTGCTTCAGTGGTTTCTGCTTTAGTATATTACTCAAATATAACATAATTGTTTCCCTCATTTGTATTTGGAAGCATGGCAAATGCATTAACATATCCTGAAAATAAAACAGATGCAAGATGCTCAGATCCATTTCAAATCATATACACCAAATATCGCAAATGTTTTCATTTTTTTAAACTAAAGAAATTGATTTGATATTTTAATTGTGTTCATGTGTTGTTTGGTATATGCTTTGGCAAATTTGGTCATTGACCTCAGTGTCGAGTTGGCAGCACATCAAATGATTTCACTGACGATCTTTGCTAATTTGCTATTGCTCTGATATTGGCAGTTCAAAGGCACATGTGAAATTAGTTTTACTGGACGAAGCCGATGCAATGACAAAGGATGCACAATTTGCTTTACGTCGAGGTATGTTTAAGTTATTTCTTTGCCGTCCTTATTTTGCCCCTTTCCTGTGCAACCATGTTAATTTGGTGTCATTTTTTATATCTAGTGATCGAGAAATACACAAAAAGCACGAGATTTGCGTTAATCTGTAACAACGTAAACAAGGTCATTTCTGCACTCCAGTCAAGATGCACACGCTTCCGGTTTGCTCCTCTTGATTCTATTCATGTCAATGAGCGGCTTAAACACGTCATAGAGGCTGAAGGGTGAGTAATAATACTAAGCCACATATCCCATTGAACAATAACAATAGAAGAAAGATGACCATGTGAAAAGATTGTCAAAGCTTTCACTAAGCCTTAACGGTCTACATTTATTGTTTATGACTGTTTTGAGTCTTTACAGCTCTTTATATGTTTTATGCTATTTGACTGTTCAGAGTGTTCTTGTTTGGGAAAGGAAAATATGGTTGACAGTGCTCTTTAAAGTTTAGGTCTAATCTGATCCCTGGTCTATTTTATTGTCATTATCTTGTGCAATGTTGTTCTCTTTTTATGATCACAAGTGTCTGTAACATTCAAAGGCAATTAGGCATACATTAGTGTTTTCCTCGTAGATTCTCTCACAGTAACCTGAAGTGAGTGTATGGCATCTTTATAACGTGCGAATGCCAAGCCTTCTGTGAAAATGTAATAAAATTGTTTGCACTATTTTGTGAATCTGTGGTACTTGGGAGAACTTCTGCTGTTATGCTAAGTATGTAAGTAGGTCATGCCATGGGTAAAAGAGATGCCATTACAATTCTTATAATATTAAGATTTTGTTTACAACTTTTCATGATCGTGTTGTGGTTTATGACATTATATTTTTGCTTGGTGGTTATTTTGATTCTGATTTTATTGTTTGGCTGTTACATATGTGCAGTGAGAAAGCTTACAATTTCACTTGATATTTATGTTCTTAAATAGGCTTGATGTAACGGAGTCGGGCTTAGCTGCACTTGTGCGATTGAGTACTGGGGATATGCGAAAGGCTTTGAACATTTTGCAGGTCTGTTAACCTCTTCGTAACTAATTTTAAAATTGCAGGATAAGTGGCCTAATTAATAACTTCCCTTATCACGCCCCTCTGATGATTAGACTATTTTAGACTAAATAGAATTTTCTTTCAGTGGTCTAACTGTAGTTTGTTACTGGAAATACAGTGCTCTTGAATTTTTTTTTTTTTTGATTTTTTTGGCAGTAATTACAGATGTTACCTCCAAGGCTCTAATGTATTATGAGTTAGTGAGTTATTAGGCAGCTTGTGTTACTTTTGTTTTTCGTAAATTCAGTACTCTGCAAGATGGTATCAATTTGGGACATTATCCAATGTCATTCCTCATTTTTTTTAATGTGGTCTTGTGAAAGATTTCTATTCATTAATTGCTGATTAGTAGTATTCATTTTGCCATTAATGGGCACCAGATAAAGTTCTGTGGGTAGTTGAAACTACAACTATGTTGACTTTTTTTAAAAAAAAATCTTTGTTGTCAATACTTGCAGTCAACACACATGGCATCACCGCAAATAACAGAAGAAGCAGTTTACCTGTGCACTGGAAATCCTTTGCCGAAGGATATTGAACAAATATCATTTTGGCTTCTCAATGAGACTTTTGCTACTAGCTTCAGCCGTATCCTATAGTTACTTGTGTATTATCGTGTTTATTAAGCCAGACTAATTATCTTTTTATCTGCACTTCTGTTTGTTGGTTATTCTTAAACTGTCCTTAGGAATTTCTGAAATTAAGACCAGAAAAGGATTAGCTTTGGTGGACATCATAAGAGAAGTAACAATGTAAGTGTTTTTTCTAAAAATCTATCCACCCATCTTCTTATGTGCTCTAAGTTAACTTGTTGAATTGGTGGTGATACCAGGTTTGTTTTTAGAATCAAAATGCCGGCAGATGTTCGAGTTCAGCTGATTAATGATATGGCTGATATAGAGTATGTGCTGTTGCATCTTTTTTTCAATAATAGTTACAACTTATGAGTATTGTGGTATTTTTGAGTTGACACTAATTTTGTTTGGTCTGTTTTAGTGTTTTCTTAAAATGGTTTATTGTAATGCCCACATGAATTTGAGTGGTTATTGAAGATTGTGTCAAATATTGTAAGCATGAAATCTATGTGATTGTAGATTTGTAGCCCTTAAATCCTTAAGGATCATTAAGTGCATTGGAATTTAATGATCAAGTTTACTGACTAATTAGGTGCTTGGAGGGGTTTATGAAATTTCTGAAGTCATACATACCTTTTACTACAGGACACTGAAAATTAGTGTCTACCGACCTCTACTCCTGCCTTAGCAATGGAATTCTAGCCCCAAACCCAAGCCTAGCAGAACTTTTTCTTGTGGCTGTGATAGGGACAGTAGGCTAACCACCCATGTAAGCATTGACTAGTGACCCAGAACAAAGATGACTGTAATGAAAGTCGGCAAGAGGATTGATAAGCCATGAAAAAGTTGAATGTTGGCGAATTGTCAATACTCCCGCAATTGAAGAACTCGGATCTTTGAACCTAGTTGAACTCTGACAAAAACACTGTGCAATGACTGAATAATGGGGGCGGTGGCCTTGGGGGGGGGGGGGAGGGGTTGTGCCTCACATAAGGAACACCAGCACTTCTAGAATTTAGCAACTAGGGCTAAGTAGAATTGTAGAAGAGGAGTTTTTAAAGAGGATTGAGCAAAGATAAGAGATTATCAAATATGATCCAAAATCCAAAAATAAAATTAAAATATAAGGACATTTGACTGGTGGAGGCCGATAGGGGACAATTCTAACAAAATAAGATTAGAGTCGAGCAGATAAGAATATAAAATTGAAGTATCATAAAAAGCAGGAGAAAATGTTTTATACTAGAAGGGCTGTCACCAGGGCCTGAGATTTATATTGCTTATTATTTGAGGATTATAATTTTTAAGGGAGAAGGCAGTCTTGAACCCCCCCCCCCCCTTCGCAATACAACTTAATTGAACTTGGGTGGTGTTTTGGGAAAATAAGAGTTTCTCTTACATAGGTGTTGTGCAGATGTAGTTTGATGGTTCTGTTCAAATTCATGGATTTGCCTCCTTACCTTAATGCAGTTTTTAAGCATTTGTTCACTAGAGGGAAGCATTTTTTTCCTCCCACTTTCTTGATTTCTGGTTTTTGGTACTGCAGTCAATCTTTTGAGAATAACAGCCATCTGGTGGAAACTTTGTTGATAATACTTCATTTTTTTTTTGACGGATAACACTTCATTTTACTTGCAGGTATAGACTAAGTTTTGGATGTAGCGATAAATTGCAGCTTGGATCTCTCATCGCCTCATTCACAAAAGCTCGTTCTGCATTGGTTGCGGCTGCAAAGTAGATTTTCCCTACGAAGTGATTGAGATGCTTGCCTTTTTCTGCCTAAGTATGTGCATTGTACTTGCTTGTCAAAGCTATCTGACCTGCTTTGTAGTTGGTTTCATTTTGGCCCCAGATTTGGTTCAAGATTCCATGTGTAACATGTAATTTGAACCTTAACCTTCCACCCTCCAAAACAAATATGTAAAGGAGAGCTGAGAGGGACATGTAAAGGCACCTCTTCAAGGGTCAGAATGTATTTTGTCCATTTCGTTGTCCACCTGAGTAAATTGTTGTGGCTTCAAGTTTGTAAGTTGAAGAAATACTAGCCAAGAAATGTAACAGCAAAGTTTTAGAAAATCTCTATGATCAGTGCAGGCAACTTCTCGAACGCTTAATCTTTTGTACTGTGCGAAGTATTTCTCTGGACAAAAAGGGTGCTTGAAATGAGATTTTGGCATGAAACCCCTTTAGTCTTTACGCATTTCTTGTTTGTTTTACAGATGAGCAAGGTAGGTAGAAATTATGCTATCCTAAATTCTTAATCCATACCTCCCTCAATAGTAATATGCACACAGGAAACTAAAATACGGCTGTTTTTTTTTTTTAAAAAAATGAAAGTCATCAGTGCATTAAAATGAAGCTTAAATGTAGCGCACGGACATAAAAAAATACGAAGTATTATGATATTAAAAATGTAGAAATGAGTAATGTTAGGTTTTTTAATCTTTCTTCCCTTTCTCACTTGCAAATCCCAGAAATGAACAATGTTGCTCAATTGAGCCTTAGGGGATTGCGAGTGTACCTATTGTACAAACAACTCAGGGAGAGTCCAAGGACAACACCTTAAACAAACCCATATTTGCAATAATATGCCCAAATTCACTAACACATGGCAACTTGGCAAGTGAAGCCATCAGAATTTGATGGTGCCATGAGACGACACGTGCCTTGCCATTAACTCTGCTGAAATAAACATGAGCGCTAAACATTAGTGAACTTTTTCCAAAGCAAAGACGGACAGGAATTAGGACAGGTACTTTCATTTGAACAATTCAAGTATGACCTTCATTGGCCAGGTGTACAGTGATACATTGCAATAGTGACCAGCTTTCTGATACTATTTACTTCATATAATTAATACAACCAATCGATGGTCATTCTATTTCTATACATAAACAAGTTGCCAAGGGGTAAGATACAAACACAAGACAATTCTCACCTCTAACTTCGCAAGATCAGATTGCCAATTTGCCAGTACTTTAAAGGCTAATGATACATTTTTTTTTCTCCTTTCTGATTTCAAGAATATAATTTCTGGACAACTTATCCAGAAATGAATTTCCTAGCACCTATATTCAGCTGTACAACCAACTTGAAACATTATAAAATTTCCTCGTACTGCAGGAAGTATGGATCATTCTCACCTCAACATTTGATGAAGATCATACATTCTATATTGGCATCAAAATCTTCACTACAAAACTGTATGCTGTAAAGGAGACTAGAGGAGAGTACATACAAATGCAAGGAACACTCTGATTTACAGGGACAGCACACCACCAAAACTTCACCGGCAGCATTGCTGCAACTTCACTTGCTTCATAGAACTTCCTTCTCTAATGATTTTTTGTTTACAGACTATCATTGGACAATCTGTTGGACCACATAATCTCAATTTCGAGTTTTCTGGATCCATCTTTATTGCTATCATGGTTAAGGTTGAACAATCCGCTGTAAACTCCTTCTGTCACTACCTTATCTATTTGAATAGTGACTCTACCTAGAGTTGCCTGCAAAGAGGAACCATATCATCAGAAAGTAACAATTAGAGCAGATTTATGGCTTCTAGGCCACAGTTATTAACAACTAGAGATACATGTTCAAAAGATAAATATTTTATCTAAATGATCTATAAATGAAGCCCCTCGCCTGTCAGAACTAGTGTGGCAGTCAGTGACTGAACACTAGCAGTCTATCATTGTTGGGTCAAAGAAGAGATCTAGGTAATATAACTTTTTTGGGTTTAGTAATAAAAGCAGTCAGTGTAAATGCTTGTCACCTTTCCAAAAGTGTTCTTGCTTTTACATATGATGTGAAGTTTTTGTCCTTTAGGTGGCACATCAAATGCCCATGTAAAAGCTTCTTTCCACTCGGGAGATATGCTATGATTCATGACCTGAAAACCAGCACAATGAGCAAGTTACAATCTCATAACAATGTGCTTATCTATCTAAAGGAAACTCAGAGTAGAAAACAGTTCCATGAAATTTATGCAAGATGTAGAGAATGCAGGTATGTGTTAGTATATGCAATGGCCTTTTTAGATAGGAACAGATTATACTTGACCAAAAGAGCTACAACTTGCTAAGACACAGGGCCAAGAAGAAAAGGGAAACGATTTCCTGATTTATTTGAAGCTCAGTAGAGTAAAATTTTAAATGAGTTCGTGCTTCTGGAGGCCAAAGTTATGATAAACAAACAAACAATCCACTGGATTATACTTGGGGTTTTAATGCCTTTTTTTTTTTTTTTTTTTTTTTTTTTAGGAGAGACGAAGAGTGTATAAATTTCATTTCTACATGCAACACATCACTTTTCACATTTCACATTTCACATTTCACAGTACTTGCAACATTACCTATGTTGGAAACTATTAATATGTGAATTTAGCACATAATTCTCAACTTTTGTAAGGGAAATACGGATCAATCCACCTTTGATAGCTTAAAATACACTTTTTCCTCTAAATCACACTGGCACAAATGACTTATTTCCTCCCACTCTCCTTCATCTCCAGTAATATTTATATATCTCGATATTGCAAGTAGTGAAAAATGAGGTAGTATTATGATACATCCGCAATCCGCATACACAGTAAGAAAATCACCATAGTGTTCAAAAAATACTGAAATCCCCATATTTCAAAATGGCAGTAAAACATCAAAGATCTATCATAACAAAAACTTGATAAGTATAAGAGGTGGTCAAAATCAGAAAAATTTCAAAGGTCTCCTCTTCTTTAGTTAAGGCTCATACAGTTATAAATATTTACCTTGGTTTGCCGAGAAGGGCCGTTGCCTATTATCAATTGACAAAAAGCATTTGTGGTTCCCATAGCCTGCTTTAGGTTGTGACCACGGTTTATTGTGACAGTCAAACACCCTGGTAAGCAATGCAACAAGCTGTCTGCTCTCTCATGGAAACTTGGAGGGCACGTTTTCATCAACATCTGTAGGATCGGGATTGCTTCAGCTGCAACAATAGCTTGTGATTTAGCAGTATCTATGGACATGGTTGACCATGAATGTTTAAGCAAGCATAGGGTGTCCAGCACAGATTCTTGAGCAGCCTCATTTCCTGATTTTAATGCTGCTACCAAATGGGGAATACACAAAGTTGCAGCTTCAGATATGTGAAGCTTAGGGAAGTTGGTGAATATTTTATTTATCGTTTTTAAAACCTCTTCATTGATGGTTGCTGAAGACCACAATTCTCTCTCCAATGCAGCTGCAAGCCACCAATAGTAAAAAGAGAATTTAAATACTTCATAAAAAGCAGAACCATTATCCACACATCATGAAAAGAAAAGGGGAACAGAATCTTGCATCAACTGATCAAAATTTTAGAATGAAAAATGGTACTGCAGTTAGCCTTGAGCATGAAACAAGTTTCTTACTTCTTTAAAAGCAACTACAGAAATGAACACCTCTTTTTACATAGCTCAGAATACCTGGCATAAGCTATAAAAGAATTTTTTTAAAAAAAAAAGAAAAGAAAAAGTATACTTCATTGGGATAGAAAAATCAAATTACAGTGATATCTCAAATAAAGGATTTCAGAAAAATTGAAGTATTTCTTAGGATAAAAGTTTGCGAAATTAGGGAAGAATAGGGGCAAATAACTTACGAGCTTAAGTGCATGACTATATAGTGTTTGGATGGAGCCATGAGGGTAAAATTACAATATTTAAGAATCAGGCACTACATCTTGTGTCTAACTGAAGCAAAAAAGTTCTTAGGTTCACAACAGGTTTCCCATTTTTGTACCAATGATGTCTTTCAAGAATATTCTTCAGACAAATTGTAGGGAATTTTTAATACTCTTAAGACAAATTGTAGTTAGAAGAGGTTTGGGGCAAAAAGAGAGGTTTAAGGCAAAAGAGAGGTTACCTCTAATGTGAGTGTTTGGTCGAGAGAGGATTGATAAGAGTTTTGAGTCCAAAAAGCTAATTTTGAAAAAGCTAGTAATAGAAGCTTTTTGGTGAGAGAGGTTTTGGTACTTGAGAGGAAATGGCATTTTTATCCATATGTTGATCAAATTTACTACCCTTTATCAAGGTTGCTCAAACTAAAAATAAAATTTCTGTATATCCTTGTTGGCCATGTTACGCAATAAAGTAGCTATCAGCTAACAATAATTTAATAATACAACTAGTCAAATCAGCTCATAAAATCAGCTAACAACTAACCACAACTAATCTCTAGTAATTGGTATTGAACGAGTAAATACAATTAGTTGGAACTCCACCTAAATGTTAAATAAGAGATACTGATTGATTCTGACAAGCGTATACACATACAATTATGGATAGTTAAATTGGAACTTACCTGTGAGAGATCTTATGAGCTCATTTGATACGTATTCCTGAAGTGTGTGATTTGAGAATAGAAACCTAATCAACAAAGCTGCCTGGATGGCAACATCTGAGTTAGCGGATAATAGCTGCTCCTGAACAACAAGTATGCCACCTGCTTCTGCAACAGCACGTCTATTTGTCCTACTGTTCATGACAAAATTCTGCAATGCACAAATTGCGACCATTTTCATTTCCTCTGTTGGTTGGTCTTCCAACAAACTTATAAGAGCACGACAAGCAGAAACAGAATCACTTGCTCTAGCAAGCCCTTCATGCTGTGAGAGGTCACCGAGAGCTAAAGCTGCAAGCAATCTGCCAGGTTGCGATCTGGTTTGAGGATCAAGGTGATACTGTGATAAAGGTGCAATTGCATATTTAGTAACCTTCATCTCTCTAACTCTCACATTATTAAATAAGGCTTCCAGTAATTTTCCAGCTGCTTCCTCACACTGATGTGATCTTAGCAGGTCTAGGAGAGCATCTGTAGCTCGAGCTTCAGCCATTAATTCAGCAGTGCGAACATCATTTCTTTCCTGTATAATGAGAGCACTAAGAGCCACACTGACAATGCTTTCCTGCGATGAGTGCAACAACTTCACTAGAACCACCAGCGGCACCTCAAAGTAATATTCTACGTTCACATTTAAAACATTAGAGAGGATCAGTGCTGCTGATTCCCATAAAGAGTGAGGTGGCTGAGGATCATCCTGAATAATGACTTTGGAGAGCTCAAATAAACCTCCAGCATCTGCAATATCTTTTGGCCAAATCAGAGAAATTTTTTCCAGTGCCTTGACAGCTGTTTGTTGTAAGTTCAAATTTGCTATTCCTGCAATCTGTACAAGAGGAATAATTGCACCTTTAGTTGTTATATCTTGCTGGAAATGCTCTTGGGCAAGAAGGTGACATAATAATTCAGAGCTTAATTGCTGAATTGCTTGAGACGGTGATTCTAAAAACGATATTAATGGTTCAATAACTTGGCTAGAAGTGAGTTCTAAGATTGTTAAGCTCTGTGGTTTCTCCAGGACATTCACGAGTGCTTGCAGAGCACTGTGTTGTCCCCACATACTGAAATCAGGACGTTGCAGAACACTAAAAAGTGGTTCCACTATTCTGGGAGCTGTTGAACTTCTAGCAATTGCGCCACTGTTAGTCAAGATGCGAAACAGCTCAGAAATTGTTGAGCAAAGAGAGCTAGGAGCAGCAGGGAGAATTTTCAGACAATTATCAACAATTCCACCATTGACCATATCCTGCTTGCGAGGAGTTCGGTCCTTCCCCAGCTTAATCAGAGCACATATGCTGGCCTCAGTAAGCCGATAATTAGACTCAGAAACCAAAGAAACAAGTAGATCCACAACATCATATGCTGATGCATTATCCACCTGTTGGTCATCATCTAACAATTTGTCAAAAGCACAGACACCAGATTCCACAGCTGAATCAGTATCAGATCTCATAAGTGATATAAGAGGCTGTATACAATCAGTGGCAATTGGCGTCAATCTTATTTTTGGACTGCTGAACAAAACAAAACACAGGTCTGCAGCTTTCTTTTTTAGATCCAATGACGCAGAAGAGGACAGAATCCTGCAGAGACTTTCCAGTGGATTGCCTTCAATATCTATCAACAAATTAGCCTTCAAAGTGTCTCCTGTAGTCAACTTGAGAAGTCCAAGAAGACCAGCCTCTTGTTCAGAATGGGATGTAGCATCAAGCATGTCAACCAGAGGCTGAATGGCCTGGTTGACTGATTCAGAATCTCTGATGTTTTCAGCATTAAAAAGTTCATGCAGAGCCCTTGCAGCACTGAGCCTAGCAACTCTTGACCCCAAACGAAGTACGGCTATTAGCTGACTGAGTGAATTTATAGAAGCTTCATGCTTTAATAGCTCAGAGTTGGTGAATAATATCCTCAACAACTCAGAAATAGAAGCCTCGGTGATGTCCTGAGGGCCCAATGACAAATACTTTGGCAGAGCTTCCAAAGCTCCTGCTTCTGCCACGATAAGTTTATTTGTATCACTACCGTCAGCAACAAGGGTCAATAAGTGGACAGAAACAGGAGGTGCGCTGGGTCTATCTGGCATTGGTCTCAGAAGATCAACCAGTAATGGTATAGCTTTACGTGCAGTAGAACCCATTTTCACATCTTCTATCTCAAAGAGGTGCTCCAGCACAACTTTCTCAGGATTCCTTACCAAAGAAAACTCCTCAGTTAAGGCAATAAGGTTTGGCATATCTGTGTCCACGTAACCAATGAGGGTTATTAGGCCAGCAACTGCACCTGAGTTTGCAACTGTTGTCATTATCCCCTTATTTCCATGGTTGACAAGGCTAGCCATTGCCTGAGTGGCGAAGAATCTGTCAATCATTTCATCAGATTTCAGCATCAGTGCAAGCAAAGGTATTACACGGACAACTGCAGGGTCACAAGCAACACTAGCATCTTGGAATAATACAGAGAGAAGCAGAGCACTAATCCATACACCCTCGGCATCTTCAAACTCAGCCTGCCAATGTAAAAGAAGTAGCTAAATATGAATATCATTGTCATCAGACATATATCAAGAGATTGTGACAATTTTAAAGTAGATCTAGCATCTTAAAAAAAAAAAAAAACCAATTTGAATGCAAACAGAAGTTCTTCAATTATTTGACATGAGAAGATAGGTTAGGATGTCTATATGAATACTGATATACCACTTTATCTTTAATGTGCAACTGCAGAAATGAGAATCAAACTATTATAACAAATGACAGCAATAACAAGCCAGCAGCATGAATTCTGAGGAATCTAAATCTTTGCATAAAATCAAACAGGTGGACTCGGCAAACATGTGCAGCATAATTTTTAATTAACTTGTGCATATAGAGTTATAATACTTATAAATCAAGACCAACAGTCTAAACAATCATGCCCTAAAAACTATAATGAGCAAGAATGCATTACATATCTCATTCTTTGTGGACATGATACCATCAGCTAAGCTCCTTACAAGTATCTACACAGAGTTGGTTGAAAACTAAACCTTTATAAACAACAATTGACCAAGATAAATACAATATTCACAAGTCTATCTTTATATAGCATTGAACTCCAGTTGATTTACTGTAAAAAAAATAAAAAAATAAAAAGAAAAATTAACACCCAGTCCAGTATTTAAATTCATTAACAACTTGTGATTACTATTCGTTAGATAAAACAGTTGTTATTACCCTGAAGCAACAAAAACTTATACTTCCTCTGTTTTTCTTTTATTGCACCATAAGGACTTTTACACTATTCACTTAATCTTCTTTGACCATCATTTGTGATTTATCCATTACGAAAAACATAGTCATGTGGGATCCAGTTAGATTCATCTCGAAATCTACTTTTCAAATAACAATTTTTTATAATTTTTATAAAAGTATAATTGAAGATATTAACAGCTAAAGTAATGCATTGGCAAGCGTGAAATCCCTCATGGTGCAATAAAAAAATAACGGAGGAAGTATTAGGAATATAGCGTGACCATCTCGGTGGCACTCTCAATATGCATAATAATTAGGTTCAACTACTAATAGTAAACTGTCTTATATATATAAAGCAAACACCCCCCCCCCCCCAAAGTCAAGTCATACCTGCGGATTGGAAGTGTAGCTTGTGAGTTTCTCTGAAAGGACTTCTACTCCTCCAGCTTCCATAACAACATGTTTATTTTTCTCATTAAATGAGGACATTATGGAAAGCAACCACAAGGCGGCTGTACCTCCTAATACAGAGGCTGGATCAGGAACCTCACACTCATCCTCTTCTCGAAAAGATGTTCTCTGTCTCAAGGCTCTTGGAGTTCTTATTTCAATTTCCAACGAACAGCAGCCAGAATTTTGCCTTATCATGTGAACTAAAGAGCATATCAAGGGTCTTAGATATCCTGAAGAATCAAGTGAATCCATTGACTTCTTTTTGTGCTCTTTTGCAACACAAGTAAGCAATGCAGTCCCTCCAACTTTGACCTCTAAGCAAGATGGACTCATTGTTCTTGTTGCTAGAGAAGTAATAGCTTTTGATTTAGCAATCAACATGTCGGCTAGCACCACTGGTTGATCTCCACATAGCCTAGAAAGAATTACAATCACCTTGTCTTGTATTGCAGGAGGCCCTTCAGCTAAGCAATGAATGAGAGGTTCTAAGCTTGAAGGGATTTCAGCAAGGGTAGACCAGAGTTGGTACGTAAAATTAGCCCTCTGTTTTGTTCTAGCCAAAAGTGAAAGGACTTCTAAGGCATCCGCAGCACCAATCTCCTCCAGATCCATCGTATTCAATGATTCAACAAGAGCAAGCACAGTGAGACGACATTGAGAATTCCCTTTTAGCACAGCCCCAACTGGAAAGTGCTTCAGTAATTGGTATATGGCACATGCTGCATTTTTTTTGCCTTCTGCAGTACCTTCTCCCAATACTCTCGTCAGAGCTGATACGACATCTTCGGCTAGTGCTACGGATGCAATCCGAGTATCCGAAAGAAGATTGGCAAGTGCAGCAACAGCAGCCTCAGCAGCATTAATTAAGGAAGTTTTGGCCAGCTTAATTAGAGGCTTGACTTCTCCCTCAGATATGCAAGATATCTTGTTTGAACTATTTGTTCTGGTAGGCCGCGCCAATGCACCTAAGGCTCGAGCTGACTGGGTAGCCACAAGTAGTATCTTGCTAGTCAAAAGCTTCATGCAAGGTTGAATAATCTCATCAGTTGCGAGACTTTCACAAATCTCAGGTCTAGAACTAAAGAGATCAGCAAGAACAGAAGCTGCACCCTCTTGGTTCTCTTCATTTGAAGAATTAAGCACTTGGACAAGAGACTTCAGTGCTTTGTTAGCAAGATTTCCCCTTTGCACAAGCTCTTTGTGTGATGCAATAGTGAGCACATGACCCAGAACCCTGATTATGTGGCCTTTAAAGCTTGGAGATTCACCCAGAAGCATAGCAAGCAGTTGATTGATGGTTGCAGAATCAGCTGTCCGGACAAGTTTCATTAGTGCTTTGGCAGATGCTTCTTGCCCTTTTTGTCCACCACTCCTCAGTAGCCATAGGAAAGCTGGGACAGCTCCAGCACTTTCAACACATGCACGAATATCTTCACTGTGACAGCACAAATTCCACAAAACATGAGCTGCATCCTCCTTTGCCTTTGGAGATCCTACTTCTAAAAGTTGCACTAGCGGGGGGATACCTCCCGCTGCAGTTATAGCCCACTTACTATCATCAACTTCATCAGTTAAAATTACCAGCAGCTGAGCAGCATGCTCCTGATGTTGCTCACTGGCTAACCCCAACAATGACATCAGCAACTGAATTCCTTCCCTCTTTTTTATGGCGTTCCAGATGTCTACTCCATCTGCGCACAAGCTAGTCAGAGAACCAATCAGGTGTTCCTGCACTTCAAGAGCAGCCATTGTTATCAAGCCAGTTAGTATCTTCTTAGCCTCTGCATAAGAAAGCCATTTTGAAAGATAAATGTTCCCATAGAGACTAGACATAGCTTCAAGTAAACGATCCTGGACTAGCTTATTGTCCCGAGGCTTAAGCAATGTGACCAGAATGTCTTCTACCAGCTTCACATTAAAGGGTTCTTCTTCCCTGGCTGATTTTTGTTCAAAGACCATCAAAGAGTAGGCCAGTGCTCCAATTATGTCAGCAACTGGAGCAGCTAACCGAGGTGACTGGGCAAGCTCTCCAAGATATTTGATCAATTCAGACATTCCACCACATATATTAGCCAGAGCCACAGTGGCATGCCCTTGAAGAGCCTGACCAAACTCCCCTTGCATACCTTCTTTAGAAGGTGCAACTATTGCACCAATAAGAATAGGAACACCACCAGCATCAACAACAGCTCTCTTAGCTTCATCTGACTCTAAAGAAAGAGCCTGCAATGCATCAGCAGCGCTTGCACGAACAGAGGCCTCATTTCCCTGACCAACGAGTTGGAGCAGAGCTTTAAAAGCTCCAGACTCTATTACCTTGGGTATACTATCACTAAATGCTAACATCAGACGGGCCAAAAGAGAAGCAGCATTGGATTGAGAGGCTGCATTGTCAGAAGAAAGAAGGCCCACAATGATATCCACACCTCCACCTGCAAGTGCAGCTCTCCAGTAGCCATCCCTGTCACCACAAAGATTTCTCAAGGCTCCCGTCACAAAGCCTTCTACTACCTTATCCTGCTTATTCTTTGGATTTAGCTGCTCCCATAAAGTTGGGACAACACCCTCAGTGACAAATATTTTCACACCCACATGATCAGCCAATCCACCAGCTGATACTTCATATATTGCTTCAGCGGCTGCCTTCCTAGCCTCAACTGAATCTGACTTTAAAAGCAAAAGCAACGGAGGTATACACCCGCCTAAGAGCACCTTTAACCTTAAGTCTTCATCTCTGCAAAGAACACTAAGAGTTGCAGCAATATTCACCTTAGCTCCAGGAGTGCCAGCCCTGAGAATAGATATAAATAATGGCATTGCTTGTCCATGGGAGCCAATAATTGTCCTTGCCTCCCTCTTCCTTTTAACAATACCAAGCAATCGTGCTGTAATAAGTTCCTTCTCATGAGGTGAAGAAATGTTGGCATGCAGCTGCTCAACAAGTCGAGCAACTGTAGCCATTGTACTTTCTTCTTCATCCATTTGTGCTGCTCCATTTGGTTCCCTGAGAAATCAGTTATGCAATCACCTTGTCAAAAATCAGCAGTTGTCAATGAAAGAGAATTAACGCCAACAACAACGAAGAAATTTCAAAGACCTCTAATCATCCATTCTAAGGTTCATAGGATCTTCCACCTATTTTTCTAAGGGTATGCAAGGTACCCAAATTTCAGACATGGCATGGAATAAATTACCAAACTAACATAGAAACATAACACATTATACATGGAAATTATAATTTTCTCTCAAGAACCTACTTCCCCCTTATTCTTTCTTAATTAGCACATGCTCTCACCAGCCAGATTCAGTTGTCACATTACTAGTTCAAATTTCACAATCAACGAAACTATTAATCTGTAAGCAGGGAGTATCATAAAGAACAATGCTAAAAAAATGTCCAGTAGAGTAAAAAAATCAACCTCAGCCGCGAAGTCGATACAAGCTCTCCTGGTTCAGGGGATGGGAGATTTGGCATTTGCATCAACAACGCCAGCTATGGAAATTTACTTGGCCACCTGCTCATTCCAAAAACAAATCAAAATCAATAGTATTGCTAAATTGGCAATTCAAAATCCCCAAATTACTAATAAATTACCCAAAAAAAGATAATTTTCACTTCAATTCACAGTCTCAAACAACCCACCTACTAAAATTCAAAACCTAAGTGATCCCATTTGTACCAATTCCACATCTTCAATGCTTAAAATTAGAAAGAAAAAAAAAAAAAAAAAAAAAAACTCATTCAGTAGAATTTACAACTCGCAACACTAAATTACAAAGATTAATCAAACACAAACAATAAAAATAAAATTAAAAAATTACCTCCACCAAAAATTGTGCCAAGTATAGTCCGATCTTCAACAAAAATTCCCGAAAAATGGCGAAATTAATTCGGAAAAACAAACTTCGAATTGCACAAATAGTAACGTGTAAAGATCGGATCAGATAAATATCAAATAATCTAGGTTAAGAAAATAGGATAAAACTAACGAATTATGAAAATAATGAATCTGTAGTATAATTATAAAAAAAAAAAAAAAAAAAAAAAACAAAAAAACGTAGGAAATGTTGAAAATATTACTGTACAATTGAGAAAAATGGAGGTTCGTTAATGGAGGAAGAGAGAGAAAGAGGTAAAATAATTTTATTTTATTTTATTTTATTTTCTGTTAACCAACACTTAACAGTGTTGAGTGTGAGTTTGTTCTTTCTTTTTCTTTTCTTTTTCTGTCGCAAACAACAGTCTTCTTTGCGTCGCTTTCTCTGTCATGTGATGGTCTTTTTCTAAATTTTATTATTTACAATATTATTGGTTCATTATTTTTGGTAAAACAGAAAATTGAAAAATAAAATTAGAAGGTTGAAGGTTTATTTTGCTGCGTGATTTTGAGTGTCAGGTGAAAAGGAACGAAATTACATTTTGATATTGACATTTGACTTTTTGTATATACCCTCTCGTTTCTACTTCATAAATGTAAGATGAGTATGTAACAATTGTTTATTTTTCGAAAATTAAAGTTGGTTTAGTGGTTGGAGACTTGGAGATCCTCCTTTCACCCCTATGATAGGGGTTTGAGTTTCTTTGTTTGTGTTTTACCCCTTATATGCGACATTGTGATGAATCTAATGATGTATAATATAATCAGTTAATAACATTTATTTATTTTGTAATAGCAAAATAATTAAGTCAACATGACATGTGAATAGTGCAATAGTCAAATTGATGCATTTTTTTTAAAAAAGGAGGGAGTATAAATAAACTAACATTTTAGCCCGTGCAACATTGGAATGTATGGTTTGTTAAACGTTAAACGTAAAAAAAATTAAAAAAAAATTATTGTTAATTATTGTACGGAAAAAATGAAGATAATATGAAAGGAAGATCACTTTTTTTTTTGTATTAGGAATAAAGAAACTTTGACCATAAATCAACACTAATTTATAAGAAGTAATATAATTATATGAGATCTTATTAGATTCGTGTTAATGTCTAACGTTATACCACATAACTTTCCTACCTTCAATACCCAATTACTTTTTAAAATTAATCTTAGTCGATCATCATATAAAAACAAGAATTTTAAATCACCTAATTATTTAATTATCACAATTTGTTCTAACTAAAATATGACTAACACCAATTATAATTTCCAATACCGTTATGCCCCTAAATCATTATTCTAAGAACCTAAAGTGCATGTTTACAGCTTAGTGAAACTGTCACGAAATTAGAGATCTATATAAATAAAAAACAAAGCAAACATGAATAAAATGACAAAAAAAGGAGGTACCAAAAACATCAATATTCTAAAATTCAGATCTAAACAATAAGTAATGAAGGGAATCCCTAACGAAAAAAAAAATGAATAAATAAAGTGGACCCACCATGCAGACAAATTAATTGCATGCAAATAAAAGTAAAGATTGTAGTCCACATGCTAACGTCCACTTTAGTATCTAGCCAACCACAAGGAATGCTCTTCTTAAACTTAATCTTTCTACGATGTATGTACATCTGAGAAATATAATGCTTCAATCTGTAACTTTGTCGTAATAAACTCGGTAATTACTCTTTAAGTAAATAAACTATCGTTGATATAAGTAGATACGGAGTACATATCTTTGTCACAATCAAATTTGCTTATTTTTCACATTTAATTTGTCAACAAATCGATTTGAATAATGTCAAAAATAATTCGTACTATATCATCTTTTATGAGAAGAAGGAAATATATTGTTTAATTTACTTAATGAAAACCTTTTTTCGTAGTCTTAAAAAACGATTGATACTGTGTATAATACATATGGTGATGAATCTAATGATGTGAACATTGTAGTTGTACAAAATATAATATTACGACGTCTATGGTTTTAGTTGTGACTTTTATTCAATTGTAAATATCACAAATCGTCAATATATTAAGATTAGAAAAAGTTGATGTAAATTCAGAACGAGAAGAATCGATCTAAGGGTATATTATTATATACCACCCATGTTTCACATTAAATAATTATATATATATCACAAATAATACTCTTTTGTTGCAATTAGTGTCAAATAGAGGTACTATGTTTTTTTTAATACAAATAATAAACAAATATACAATGTATTTTATGCTTAATATACTTAGGCCTTGTTCATTTCACCTAAAAAAATAATATTCAACAAAAATAATTTCAGTTCAGTAAAAATAAGTTATGTTCAGTACAATTAATTTAAGTTCAGTAAAAAAAATTTCAGTTTAGTAAAATCATTAAGTTTAAAGAAGAAATATAATAGAGAATCAGTAAAATAATTTCAGTTTAGCAAAAATAATTTTAGTTCAGTAAAATTAATTTCAATTTAGTAAAAATAATTTAAGTTAAGTAAAAATAATTACAATTCAGTAAAAATAATTTCAATTCAGCAAAAATAAGATAAAGCGAACGAGACCTTATTTAAAGTATTAATATTCTACCATCCAGGTAATTATTACCGTAAGACTCTCTTGATAGCATAATTCTTAATTAATTTGCCCGCGTCGTCGTCACTGAATCTCTGGAGATTCTGCGGATACAGTTAAAACTCAAAACAATGACATTGTATCATGCGCCCATTATTATATTTAAGCGATAATGGTATAGATCCTAAGTATTTACAAGTAATTTTTTAAAATTCTTTTTTCGAAAGGAAAGCAGTGATTTTACTAATGGAACTATTCTTGGTAGGGAGAATTAAGGATCACGTGTATGAGTTTCTACTGATAATTGAGAAGGGATGAGTTTTTGCTGATAATTGAGAAGGGACTAAAACCTATCCACCTAGGATTAACCATTAGATCCGAATTGACTGAAGGATGAACTGGGAAGGAACACCATTTTTTTTTTTAATTATAGCATTTGTCCATATATAAAATAATAGAAATACTCTTTAAGGTAGCTGATTCGTTATTTATCTGTGTCATAGTCAGTTATTTAATTGGGTTGGTAAGGGTAGATGTGAATCAGAATTTCATAATAGTGAGTAGCAAATTATTAAGCGGTTATTTTGTTTGTTTTTTTTTTTTTTATTATTATTTTTTTAAGTAGAGAAACACCCTTTTGTTGCATGTACTCTGTTATGGAAAAAATTTAGGCAAAAATAAAACAATGCTCCATAATTCCTTTTGTTTCTTAAACATAGAGTTTAATAGTATTATTAATTCACAATTAGCCAATCAATATAGGATATAGAAAATTGTTTAGTATAATGAAAAAACAAAAACTTTTGTATACATCCGATGTACAATAATATTACTGTATATCGGGGTAAATTTTGTTGAATTTAGGGTAACTTTTACACTTTTTTGAGTAACTTTTATCAATAAAACATAAATAACTTTTATTTATATCAAGATAATTTATATATACTGGGTAACTTTCATTTATTAAAGAGTAACTTTTGATCATTTTAAGGTAACTTTGTAGCGCATGTACAATATTTTATTGTACATCCAATTTATTTATTTTTAAATGTTTATGATGAAAAAAATATATGCTAAGATAAAGAGAAAAAAGAGTTGATGAAATTAACATTATCTAAAGCCTCATTATATACTACCTTCATTTCATATTTTTTACAACTTTAGAATATTTTTTATCTCACAAATAATACCCCAAAGTTGCAAAAAATATGAAAAGGAGGTAGTATATCTTATTTTCACTTATTTTAGCAAAAATAATTTTAGTTAAGTAGTGTAAAGTTTAGATATGGGTTGATAAGCTAAGGGTCACTTACAAAAGAACAAATTATACTTATACTAAATTCAAATAAGTGGTAATAAAATGAATATATACTTAAGATAAAGAAATATATACTTGTATATATTTTTTTTTATCACACAATGAATATTTGATGATGAAAAATTGAAAATTAAGAAATCAACATAATTATAATACATCGGGTGATGTGAACGTTGTAGATGTACGAAGTATAAGATCTTAAATAAAACACAAACTATTGGGTGTGGACGTCCGCACCCAACAGTTCGTGCGGCAGTGGTAATAGCAGCGCACAATATCAGAGCAGCGGCAACGACATCCTTACACCATTCTTCCACCACATGCAAAATCCCCTTACTCCATCCTTCTATCACCTTCAAAATCTCCAATAAAACCAAAATAATACTAAGAAAAAACAAAATCCCTAAAATCAAAACAAATCACAAATTAAAATAAATAAATAACAATTGGATGTGCTAATGGCGGCGCAGCGTCGGCTTAAGGTAGAGGTCGTGGAGGTGCAAAATCAGAGCAATTCGAACTGGGCTCCGGCGTAGCCCAGTGCGGTAGTTGGGGTTCGTTGGTTGATGGTGGCTAGTGGTGGTGCTGCAATTTGGAGGTGTGGCTGCGTGGCTGAGCTCGTAACAGATCTGGTGTTTAGGGGTCGTGGGTTGGTGGTGGCTGGTTGATGGTGGCGTGAGGTTAGAGTCGTGGGTGGTTTCGACGGTTTGGTGGTTGGTGGGTGCGGTGGGAGGTGTGGCTGATTTGAGAAAGAAGAAGAGGAAGAGGGGGAAATAGGAGAGAATGAATTCATTTCATTTGAAACAAAGAGAAAGAATGAGAGGAAGATGGGGAAAGAGGAGAAATAGGGGAAATGAAAGTATATAGGTATGTTGTTAATCATATTAGCCAACGAAGGACATATATCAACCATTAAAATGAACATATAAGCCAATTGATGTATGATATCATTCAGTCAACATTATGGACATATTAGACAATAATTAAAACGTATCAGCCAACAAAAGGAATATATCAGCCAACAATTGATACATATCAGCCAACAAAAAGAATATATCAGCCAACAAATAAATGGTACTTATCAGCCAAAGAAGGAACATATCAGCCAACAAATGATGCATATTAGCCAACAAAAGGTTGAAATCAGCAAACAAAAGCAATAGGTAAGCCAACAAAATAAACATATATCAGCCAACAAAATGAAACATATAAACCAACAATTAAAATATACATATCAGCCAACTAAAGAAATATATAAGCCAAATGATGTCTGATATCAGCCAATAAAAGAAACCTATCAAAAATAAAATAAAATATATCAGCCAACAAAAAGAATACATTAGCCTACACAAAAACCATATCAGCCAATAAATGAAACCTATTTGCCAACAAATAAAATATATTAGCCAAATCTTCCGCGCCAAATTTGCGTGCGAATGTCCACATCCAATACCTTCTCTAAATGAAAAAATGTAATCAAATACTCCATGTATCAAGAAAAACAAATGTAATTAACATTCACCCAACAACAACACCATTTTATACACGATCTAATACATTACTTTTATTGAAATTAAAGGCAGACAAAAGGATGAAAT